CGACGCCTATATGGGATGCTGGCACTGCATGCAGAGGATTAACCAACTGCCACAGCGCCAGCCCCACCTGCAGATCGTTTCTGGCCCTCTGAGTCTCTTTCCTCACCTCATCTTTAACTGTGGTGCAGTGCTGCTGCAGGCCTCTGGAGGCCAGAGCCCTGGGAGGAAGGTCCCCTGGGCAGAGCAGGCAAGTGGGCAGGGAGCGGCCGAGCAGCCTTCACGCGCCTGCACCTGTGACCCGGGAGTGTCACCTGGACCCCTCGTGCCCACCGCCTTCTCCCTCCACCCTACTCCACATCGTTTCTTTCTCGGAGTAGTAATGCAACACTGCCCCCAGGATTCACAACCACAAGATAGAGGGATCCTGGGCCAGTTAAAAAAGACTAGCTGCTGCCAGACCCAAGTCCCTCTACTCCAGACTCAGCCAGAGCAGTCAGTTTACGAGAAAATCACTAAGTTCCTACAGCAGACGGTGGTGGACTGGAGCACTAACTAAAATCTGATATTAGTTAATTCCACTCTCAAAACTATTAAGACCCTTGGGGTCTGCACTGTGGCGTAGCGGGTTAAGCCACCACTTTCAGTGTAGGCATCCCATATGAGTGCCGGTTCGAGTTCTGGCTGCTCCACTTCCGATCCAGCTCTCTGCTGTGGCCTGGGAAAGCGGTTGAAGATGGCTCAAGTCCTTGGGCCCCTGCACCCACATGGGAGACCTGGAAGAAGCACCTGGCTCCTCGCTTCAGTCTGGCCTAGCCCTGGCCACTGCAGCCATTTGGGAAGTGAACAAGCAGATGGAAGATCTCTGTCTGTCTGTCTGTCTCTCTCTGTAATTCTGCCTTTCAAATAAATAAATCTTAAAAAAAATTAAGGCTCTATTATATGTGTGTATAAATAGACATTTTATATACTGGAGATATTTAAAAGTCTACATTATATATATGTACACACAATATATATAGCTGGCACTATGCGATTATATATATTTACATACATATATAATGTATAAGGTATGTAGTCAGTATTATGCAATTATATAATACACACATACATATATACACAGGATATATATATAAGTCTACATTATATATACTGTATACAGGCAATATTATGCTATTTTTATACACACATATATACAGGAAATATAAGTATATATACAAAGTGCATAGCTAGTATTACATTATTACACATATACACATACATTTATAGGAGATATATATGTATACATTATATACATGTGTGTGTGTCTACATCTTATATATATATATATACGTATATATGTATATAGCCAATATTACACTACATGGCACTTTGAGATTGTGGAAAAAATGCAGAATACTTGGTTCCTCAGGAGAGACGCACTGTCCTTAGGGAGATCCGTTCTGTAACGGTACAAGAAAAAGGACAGCCTGTATCCAAACGAGTGCCACAGCGTTGATCCCACTGAGGACCAGAAGGGGCTTTCCTCTTGTATGCCTATGAGGGGATTGTAAAATGTTTGTGGGAAAATAGAATTAGAAGATAATTTTATTTTGGTGCAAAAAAAATGGAATGCATGCATAGATTTTTCAGAATATTCATTTCCATGAACTTTTTGAAGACCACCCCCATAGGCATGGATGTCAAAATTTTTTGCACCAAGACCAACTTATCCTTAAATTCCTTTTTTCCATGAATTTTTACAGGTACCAGCATATGTGTAAAACATCTCTCTCTCTCTCTCTCTCTCTCTCACACACACACACACACACACACACACACACGTGCATACTACTGAATATATATGCCCCTAATGTGAGTACTGCCCGGGCTGGACTTGGCACTTGGGCCAGTTGCAGCCAGGTGGTCATCAGCTCAGTCATCCATTTAAAGTCTGTCCCTCTCGTAGAACGCATCTCCAAGGACACAGAGGGCATTCTTTGACCTCATGTTAATGAATCAAAGATATTTCAGTTGGAATTGTGACAATGACAATTCATTTTTGTTCAGAAGGTTCCTTCTGAGCTAACGCCATTTAGCTCCTTGATTGATTTTCTGTACAACACAGGCAAATCATTTCTTTTTAAAATGTCATTCCATTTTTACTTTTCTGAAGTCATTCCCACTGGGATCAATCTAACAATGATTTGGTTCATGGCACAGTTTTTTTAAGGCAGAGCAAGTTTTACTGATCATAGTTTTTGCCGTTGGGATTTTTTAACAGCTATTTCATCTACTGAGTTTCATTTCCTCCAGTCAAACATGTAGATAGAAATGTCATAAAATAAATGTGAATTGCGGGTTATTTTAGTCAAGCCTTACACAGTGTTGCCATATGTTGCCTTCCTTTTGCATGAATTTCTGTATTTCTCTACATCTCTATTTGAAAGTAATAAATGGACATATTTTCACTGTCTTACACGTAATGCCCTTGAACTCCTGTTTCAAAAATTCAGTGGTGGCCTTGGGGTCAGCATGAGGCAACAGCAAGGTGAAGGCACCCATGAGTAGCAGCAGGGGCCCGGGGCTATGGGCTACAGCCCTCTGCAATGGGTGCCAGTGTAACCCTCTAGAAGCCTACTGGTGCCGGTGCCACCACATCAGCAGATCTTACTCAGGACCCGGGACACAGAGGCTTCCCGCTCCTCTTCCTCCTCATGACTGAGACCAGAGAAGACCCAGAGAACAAATCTGAAGCCCAAGCCTCCCAGCCACCTGAAGAGACACAGCTTCCTCCTACATCAACTACTCTTAAAGTGCCTGCCCGACAAGCCACTCCCAGCACCACCTGATTCATCATAATGCAACTTCCTGGGCCCTACTGATACGGGGAAAACAGGCAGGAGATTAGGTAGGAATAACTGAGCTGGAAGATTTTCCCACAATTTCTGCCTCTAGCCCTGCACTGTAACTCCTCCCCCTTAGCTGTCAATCCAGGATGCCTACTTTGATGCACCTGCATTTCCTCCAGGACCAGAAAGGGGATGTCATTATGGCCACGTGGAAGTTAAACTTCACGTGGAGGCACCCTGAGAGCCTCAGAAAGCCTCACACACACTGGAACCCACCAAGACTCCACCCATGTATATATTCAACGAGGGCAACACCCCCTACCCCATAAACAGAATTGTTAGATGCAGGAGCAGCCATTTTGCTTTTTGGCTTGTCGGTCCTTCTCTGGCCTCCTCCCACACTCTCTCCTTGTTCACAACTCTCTGGGCTCCTTAAAATGAGAATCTATTTATGTGTTCACATGAATGTGTATTCACTCTCGCTTTTAAAATAGATTCTGTGCTCACTTGAGCACTTACGGATGCCTCTGCCTTGAATTCTTATCTCTGTGGGGGCAGGGACTTGCAATACGATAACTGGGATACAGGTTCCCGCGACACTACCTCGGATGTATGGACTCTTTATTTTCACAAGCTCTTCAGGTACCTGCAGAGCACGGTGAGGTCTGAGAACCACAGCCTTATCCTCAGGGGACATAAAAAGGGACAGGAGGAAGGGAGCCAACAAGATTCACGTCAGAAAAAACTGGAGACCAGAATATCCTTTAAGTAAGATCAAGTGTCCCATGATCCTTGCTCCCAGGTTCTCAACATGACCAGAGTTCATAAGAAATTTTAGTTCATTCACAAAGAAAAAGAGAAATCTACAATTTTGCCTACCCGAACTGTAGCAGGCAAATCTTTACCTCTTCATTATAATTCCCAGTAACATTCACTATGAATTGGTAAAAAGTTTGCATTTATTTCTTGGACCATCCTCATCAAAACTGCCAACAAAAATCGCCTGGATTATTCTCTTTGACAACCACCATGTCTGTTCTTCAATAGGATTGTGTACATGTTAGGTAGGAAGTCAGTTATGAGCTTATGTGTGTGCGACATAAAGGCCTAAGGAGAAGACATCTATGTCCAGCATATGCTGCATCTCAAAAGTCATCCTGATGGTGTTTCAGGGGCAGCCCCGTATTCGCATCCTGCCCTGCCCCCTTCTACCCGATAACCTGCCAGGTTGGGGGGGGGGTCCCCACCCCTTCTGCCCGACAAATCTTCCACAATCTCCCAGGTGCAGCCCAGTATCTGCATTTCAAATACCCTGCTCCGGATCCCAGTTCTCTAGGGTGTCCTGCCCACCCTTCCTCCAGAGGTGGGGAAGCAAGACCCATCTCCTTAACCCCCCACCCCCGGGGTCCTCAACCTGACTGCGCGCTCAGCCCTCTGCAGAGCCGCCCGTCTGGTCTGGCCAGGTGTAATCTCTCTACTCAACCATGTAACCTCGCCCCCCCGCCCCCCAGTCCAAGCGACTGGGCACTCTCTCGGGTCCTGTTTGGAGAGGTGCCCATCCATCCTTACAGATGTCCCTTCCCTAATAAACTTTGCTATTTTACCTCCCACTACTCTCTGTCTCACGCCTGAATTCTTTCTTGCGTGAAGACAAGAACCCTGCAATTTCTCCCTTAACACTTTGAGGTTTCTACACCTGAAAGGTAGGAAGTATGCTCCCTCCCCTTGAATCTGGCTGGGCCTGTGACGTCAGTGGAAGTGATGTAACGTGGCTTCCAACACTAAGCCATGAAAGGTGACAGTTCAGCATGGTCCTTCCAGGACACTCACTCTGAGTACCCAGCCACCAGGCTGTGAGGAGGCACCTGTACGTGTTCTGGCACCAGCTGCTGCCAAGGTCCTGGCATTGACCGCCAGAAATATCAGTGAGGGAGCCTTGGAGATGAAGCCATTCCCGGCCGTAATCTGATGATGACTACCCACACAACCTTGAGTGAGAACTGCCTGGCCGAGCTCAGTCAAATCCTAGGCTAATGAGAAATAAAAGCAAAATGACTGGTGTCCATAAGCCACTAAGGTTTAAGGTGCTTCAGACACAGCACAAGATAATCGGCACACCATCCCTAATGCCACCTAGTGGGTGTGTCTTTTTCTCATGATTGCACTGGACTCACCAACCTGCTATAGCCATCTATAGTAAATGAAAAACAATCTACACAGACACATTCAGAGTTGGGGGTAAGACATTCTGTCCAATCAAATATTTTATTCGCAAAGTAAGCAGATGCTTTAGGCAAATTACAGATCACCGAGAAAAACTATTTCTCAAATAAATCACCAAACTTTATAGAATGAGATACCCACCATATCCTCTTTTGAGCACTTCTTCTTTGATGGTTTCTTTACACTTTGGAATGTCTAATATTTCGGGTGAACACTCCATGTATCAGTCATGGTTGTACAATGCCTCTGGGAACAGGTGAACAGGTGTCTTTTTTGCAGTTGGGTATCAGGTGCTACGGCTCAGGGAGTGGGGGGGGGGGGGAAGGCCCTTGCTATTTATTGCTCACGCAAAGTTGTACTTATGCTTTGCTAACACAGTTATTAGCTACCAACCAGGGCCCAGGATACTAGGGCCCTTTGAATGCTTTGTGAAAATTGGGGAAGATAAGCAAGAACAGGAAGGATGCCCTGTTTCCCCTGGCCTTTGAAGGTGGACAAATCCAATTGCCCTTTTCCTTTTGTTTTCTCGCAAAACACCAGGCACATGGAGAAGCAATTATGATTCCATGAAGGCCCATTTTTAAAACTGGGATAATGGTTCAGAGTGCAAGTGAAATAGACTCTTGGTGGTTTTTGTTTTGTTTTTGAGAGGAGGAACTGTTCTGTCGTGGCTAATTCCTCCACTACACACCAGGTCTGAATGCTGCATAACTCCGGATGCTTCCACAGCACTTCCTGTGTGCCAGGCCCAGGCAGCCTCGCATTCACCAGCATTCACCAGGCCATTTTATCCTCACGCTAAGCCTCAGAGTTAGGTGCTATCATCAAGCTGTGGATGGTGGTCCCAGGTACTTGGTGGAGCCCCAAAAGATAAAGGGGGATACAGGCCTTCTAGCTCCACCCAGAGATGCAAATCACCTACACGGGAAAGTGTCTCAGGCCACAGAAAACATTCTCAGGAAATACTGCAGCTACAGGTATGCTTCTTCCTGGACTGCAGTCCATATTGTAACTGACAGTATTTGGCTCCCTTGCAAGCAGATGGCAACAGGCACCCTAACGGAAAAGGGACTGTCATCACAGGCATGCCCCACAGAACAAAGCCCATGTCAGAGCAGCGGCATGTCCCTACCTGCCCTGCTCGACCTCCTGTGTCCTTGTAGTGAGCTTGATAAACCCAGCTCTGCTCCCCCTGGTGAATCTGCCTGATCAAGTCATGTGGCACAGGTGAAGACACTGAAGTGGGCCCAGGGCCACGCAGTGAGTCAGTCAGGGAGCTCCTAAGATTCCTCCTTGTCCAAAATTTCTGACTGAGTAATTCTTGCTGCAGAATGAAAGGGCCTCAGTTTGGGGAGCAGCACTATCGGGAACAAAGGCGTCACTGAGGAGAGGTGGCCGTGAGCTCTGCTGCGTTCCCCAGGGGCATCGCGCAACAGATCCTAGATTGGAAGGGCTCTGACCTGCTCTCGCGACACTTTCATGTTAAAAAAAATCAAAGAGCAAAACGAGCCATTAACAGATGAACAATTGGACCAAATATTTATGATCTATGTAGAAAACTAAACATTATGTGGATTTTATTGGGACTTAGTTTGAAAATCACATGGCCCACTTTGACCAAAATAGTAATCACTTAAATTCGGCTTACAAATCAGCTCTAAAAGCTAAATTCCAGTTTTGTTTGTGCTGCTGAGAAAACAAAAACAAACATGCTCTCAAGAAGTTTGCTCAGGAACCTGGTTTTATTATTATCATTATTATATTATTATTTACTGAAAAGGCAGAGAGGAAGAAAGATCTTCCATCTGCTGGTTCACTCCCCAAATACCCACCATAGGAAGGCTGGGCCAGGACAGAGCCAGGAGCCTGGAATGGAAATCCGGGTCTCCCAGGTGAGTGGCTGGGACCCAAGTACTTGAGCCATGACCTGCGCCTCCCAAGGTGTCCGTCAGCAGGCAGCCGGATGGGAAGCCGAGTGCACAGGAGCTGAACCAGGCACTCCGATATGTGATGCAGGCATGGCGACTCTACCACTGCACCAAGTGCCTGCCCTAGGATCCTTTTTCTCTCTTTTGAGGATATGTGACCCTACTTCAATGCTGAATAAAAACTTTAAACCAATATGCATATACACACTGGAGCTATTGTTTTGCAGATGGGAAAACGAGGGCTCAAGTACCTTTTTTAGGGTACAGAGAGATGAAGGCATGAATAAGCGTGGGCTATTTCCCAACCTGGTAGGATAGGCTTCAGATCTCAGTTCAGCTAGGGTATGTATAACCTGCAATTCACTCCTCCCTTGAAAAATCAGAGGTGATCACACTGAGAGTGAAATTCATTCCTGGTGGTACTGACTGGGTGCCACCCTGGTATGGACTGCAGCCCCAGCAGGTTGCACGGGTGAAGCTTCTCTCTCTGTCTGAACCTGGATCTCCCCAGCAGGGCCACGGCACGATGTCTGATGAGCGTGCCAGCACTCAGTGGGCCTGGGGGTGCAGTGGGGAGACGATGTGTTGGCACAGCATCCACAGAGGTAGGACACAGGCTTCTCAGGGGAGCCCATCATTCACCAGAAGCAGGCCCTCCAGGTTCAGAGGCCGTCTCAAATGAGGGCTACTCCGCCAACAGGGACCGGTTGAGTGGCTGCAAGGTCCGCCGGCTGACTGTCCTCTTGCTTAAGGGTGGCACGAGGGACTTCCTGTCCCTGGGGGTGTGGCAGAGCAGGGCATCCAGGCTGTAAGTGGTGACCTGGCCATTCACGTGCAGCTTCCTGTAGATGTCATCGAATCTGGCCACAAGGGCAGGCACAGCCTTCACCTTCTCTCTCACTTTGGCCAGCTGGAAGAAAGCAAGAGCAGATGACTGTAGCTCAGTGAGTTTTCCCCTGTTCTCTGGATCCTCCAGGAAGCAGACAGCACTCTGTAAAAATGCAGAGTGCAGACCTGAATCCCGGGACTCGCATGGGGATGACTGGCACACCAGTCAGGTCTAGTACAGCAAAGTCACACCTCGTATCTTCTGAAGGGTTTCAAATGGCACTGGGTATACAGCGAAACACGCCAGGGACAGTCAGCTACCAATGGAACCCACCTAGGACCACGGAATGGTTACAGCAGCAGGCAGGGCTGAGGGCAGCACCCAGGGCTTTGCAGTCAGCTCCTGAGAAGACTGCTGGGAATCATCGTAAAAACCTTCAGAAGTCTAAGGTGGGACCCGATCGGAGTTGGGTTTACCAGGCATTTCAGATCCCGAGTTAGGGCACACAGGACGGTGACTACTCCCGAGGAGGAAAGCTGGCGGCGAGACTGGGACATGGTGGGGTGGATGCCTTCTGGAGGGTAAACCAAAAGGCCTTGCCTGAAGGGGTAAAGGACAAGGAGCAGACTTCAGTGGCTTGAAGATGGGTGCTGTGCTTCCCGAGGGGCGCAGCTGGACGGGAAAACCAAGAGCTCCATTTCGGAGAAGCTTGAGATCCCTGGGAACATCTAAGTGGCTTTGTCAAGAGGGCTGCTGATACAGGAGGGCACTTCAACAAGTTCGTGGAGGGGCCGGTGCTGAGGCCTAGCGGGTGAAGCCACTGCCTGTGACATCGGCAACCCAGATGGGTGCTCGTTTGAATCCCAGCTGCTTTACTTCCCATCCAGCTCCCTGTTAGTTAATGTGCCTGCGAGAGCAGTGGAGGATGGCCCAAGTCCTTGGGCCCCTGCATCCACGTGGAAGAACCAGAAGAAGCTCCTGGCTTGGGACCAGCCCAGCTCTGGCTGGCCATTGCAGCCTTTTGGGGAGTGAACCAACAGATGGAAGATCTCTCTGTTAACTCTGCCTTTCAAATAAAACAGAAGGAAGAGGAGGAGGGGTTGATGGCAAATGGAATTAAAATATTTTTAGCACAAAAATTTTCTGAAATCCAGTTTTCTCATAATACGTGTTTTTCATGAACTTTTTTGACGACCTCCTTAAATATGTGGACTTCACTTTTTTTTTTTTTTCACCAAAATAAACTTAGCTCTTAATTCCATTTCCATGTACTTTCTGAAGTGCCCGGGTATGAGTCTGGGCCGTGGAGGAGAGGTCTAGATGAGAGGTATAAAGAGCACAGTCACAAGTGTACGAACAGTACTTTGTTCTACAAAAATAGCTGCGCTTGAAATTAGACTCTACAGCTATTTTATGAACAAAATCAACATTTCACTTGGTGCAAACCTCACTAACAAGCCTAAATTTAAATAGGAGGCTCAAGCTTCCTAACAAATCCTTTGATCATCTTCTAAATATATCCTAACACTAAGTGCACCTGCACATCTTCCTTTCAAAGAGGAGCTCCTGACTGAACCCTCAGGCAAGCAGCTTAAAAGCACTTCTTAGTGTTCTTTAAAAAGAACAGCTTGTCTTGCCCTTGTGCTCAAGGTGAAATGACTCAATGTGCAGCCCAGGGCTTCCAAGCAAACACGCCATGCTGAAAGTACGTTGATCTAACTGTGTGTATTACATTGGCCATAATGCTATGGAAATATTAAATGGTGTCATTACAGCCATCTTTTAATTTTAGCAGAAAGGGGATTGCACTAAATTTAGTGCAATTTAGTTTTAAAAAAAGAAATCAATGAAGGAACAGCTCATGTTTGAGTGGCTTCTTAATATTATTATAGAAATGCAACATTTCTTTTCAATGCTCCTCTGTTGGTATCACAGCATCTAAGTTGTTTTATCTCCACACATCATGTCTTTTTAGCAACTGGATATAAATACTAAATGCAGTATTTGAAAAATGCAGAAGTTTACAAGAGGGGCACTCACATGTAATCCCATACACACACATTTAAAGATTTATTATTTGAAAGGCAGAGTGACCAAAGGAGAGGGAGAGGAAAAGAGAGGGAGAGAGGGAGAGAGAGCGAGTGAGCATCTTTTGTCTCCTGGTTCACTCCCCCATAAACAGCTGCACTGGCCAGGGACTGTGCTGGAGCCAGGAGCCATGAACTATACTCTGGTCTCCCACATGGGGGGTGGGGCCTAATTACCTGGAGTATCTTCCAGTATTCTCCCAGGTGCATCCGCAGGGAGCTGGGTCAGAAGCGGAGCAGCTGGTTTCTTGAACCTGCACTCCAACATGGGATGCTGGCACGGCAAGTGGCGGCTTAACCTGCTGCACCACAACACTGCCCTCCTCCCCCCACCCCTTCCACACATATTTAGAACCAGCGTTTCTCACCAGCAGCCCCCTGAGTCTATCACGGTAGCCAGGGTACACCCTGGACTAGAGGGCTAGAGTCTTCTTTCAGGTTTTCAGTGTGGGCCTTGTTTGCTTTATACACAGGTGACAAATGTTGACAGACCAGGCCTACGGAATGAGGAGCATCACTGACGCCAAGCCAGCACTGCACACGTGTGTGTGCACGGACATGGACATGCACGGACCCCTGCACACATCAGTCTGTTCCTAGCTCCAGTTCCTCTAGTTTCTAAACTTACTCCGAAGTGGCCTGGATGGGTCACAACCTACAGAGAGCTGAGACCTCCGACAGACGTTAGCTTTCAATGAATCATGTACAGTCAGGAAGAAGCTGCTGGGCAAGACATGGGACAGGACTGGGAAGGCACCAGTGTGGTTGGAGAAGGCAGCCACTCGCCTGCTAGTGCCAATGCGGCCACCTTAGCCGCCAGCCGAGTCAGGATTAGGAAAGCAAAAGGAGGAGGGAGACAGGCAGGGAGGACCGCTGGACACCACCGAGTGTTACTAACATGACGACTGTTGCCAATCTGCAATTTCTCGATGGTTCTTTCCCCTTAAGTTACAAGCTGACAGGGATGCACTCATTACTGTATTTCAGATGGCCTGCAAGCGTGCCCCCTTGTGTAGCGAAGCCATCAGTATGACGCATCTGTTTCCGTTTGCTTTCAATTTTTAGGAATTGCATATTTCTCTCCACTTTTAATTAAATGTTTTATAATTTTGCAGGGCATTTACATGGCTGCAAAGTGAAATACACGAACAAGGTATAATCGGCCCTTGGTATCCAAGGGAGACTGGGTCCAGGACCCCCTTGGATACCATAATTTACACATGCTCAAGTCCCTTACAAGAAATGGGCTAACGTTTGCACAGAACCTGCACACAGCCTCCTGTACCCTTAAGTCATTTCTAGATCCTCTTTGATGCCCAGTATAATTTAAATGTTACATCAATAGCTTTTACTATGGTACAGTTCTTATTTTTAATATTTTCAGCCCTTGGAGGGTTGAATTTGTGCGTGTGGAATCCAAGGTTTTGGAGTGTACACTGTAGGCTCTAAAAAGCTGTGTTTCCATCCCTCACCCTCTTTCAGAGCTGTTTTGATTAAGTTTTGATATTTCCATCTGCTATTTTAAAAAATCTAAAACTATATATATTATATATGTATCCATCCTCTGTCTTGACGTACACTACGCTGATCTGCCTAAAGCATTTTTCACTAACCTACTGAAGTAATCAACGTATATAGTGATCCACTAATAGGCTGCAGCCATTCCCCACTTCTTCTCAGAGCTGCTGAGCAGTCCTTTGGATGGCCACATCCAGTTTATTCAACTAGGCTGCTACAGATGGAAATCTGGGTTGTTTCCAATCCTGTGCGATTACAAACTGGCCTGCAACGCATAGCCTTGTACACACAATTCTTATATTTTTCTAGCGTTTCTTTGCCATATATTCCAACAGCCTTGTACATACAACTTCCTATATTTTTGCTAGCGTTTCTTTGGGATATATACTCCACGAAGTGGGAGTACTGAGTCAGGGGCAAGTTATCTGCAATTGTGATGGACGCCACCAGACGCCATCCCCAAGTCACAGCTGGAACTACAGGAGCTCTCAAAGTGCTAGGCCTACCACCTTGTGTGTCTCTTCTTTCCTGGGCTCTTCCTAGCTATTCTTGCTTGGAAGTTCTTTCTACTCAACTTCAGAGAAGAAACAACGTGGTGTTTGGCCCAGTCCCCGTGAGCTGCTAGTGTCCGTGCCCTCAGAGCCTCACCTCACCAAGACTGAGTTCTCCACCTTTCAAACTTCTCTTCACCCAAGGGAAGAGAAACATCACAGGGTCATTTTATTTTGCAATTCCTTTCAAGTAAGCAAGGTCGAGAATCTTTTCAAATGATTAAAGGCTGTTCACAATTCTTTTCAAGTGAACTCTGTCCATATCTCTTACCTATTTTTCTAAAGGAAAGAACCATAAAGGGTTATTGATTTTATCTCACAATCTTCAAAAACAGCTCTTTACATATCAGCGTTAGTTAGCTCTTGGTCCATGTGATTAAAAATCGAAGTCCTTTCATCAAGCTTATTGTTTTTGACTTTGTTTATGGTATCTTCGATATGTCAAAAACAGGTTTATAAAATTTTTATACAATCAATAACCACATTTTCAAACCTTTCTTTTGTGAATTTGGATTTTTAACTGAGACAAGCTTTTTCATTCTCAGGATATAAAAGAATTCACTGATGCTTTTATCTAGTACTTGTGCAGTTTCACTTTCGAAACTGAAATATCTTACCCATGAGTCCTGTTTCCTGCAATAAGAACATACACAACATTCAGCTTTCGTCCTGGCTCTTAGAAGAGTCCAGCCACTCCAGGGGAGCAGAGATGTCGCCTCTAGGCCACACCAACTCTGCATGCGCAGTCAGTCAATCTCTGAACTGTGGATTCTTTCCCATCAGCTGTCGGCTGGGCCAGGCCACAGTCTGAATCAATCACAGCTTTACAGACCAGTAGGCCTACCACCTCTTCTTGCTCTCCTTTTGTAGGGTTTGCCTAGCTATTCTTGCTGCGTGTTATTTCAACTAAACTTGACAGAAAAAAAAAATGGTACTTTTGTTGAGATCACATGAGGGATATTCAAAAAGTTACAGAAAATGTGTACTAGGAGAAAACTGCGCACAGACTTCAAAAACTTGCACTAAAACGAACTTCCCTTTCATTCTCTTTTCCACGAACCTTCTGAAGACTTGCATTATATTGTCATATTGGCTTGCCAACAGCTGACTATGAGACTGAGTCTTCCTACATAAACACATGTACGTGTTCTCATCTGCAGGGGAGAATTCTTTACTTTAATGAGGGATATGATGCCCAACTGTTTGCTGATGGGAATGATCCACAAGGAAAAGGATGCTGATGATCTTTAAAAGCGGGAGGGCGGGGTCGGTGCTGTGGTGCAGCAGGTCAAGCCACCACCTGCAGTACCAGCATCTCACATGGGCGCCGGTTCAAGTCGCCCCGGCTGTTCCACTTCTGATCCAGCTCTCTGCTATGGCCTAGAAAAGCAGTAGAAGATGACCCAAGTACTTGGGTCCCTGCACCCACATGGGAGACCTGTAATAAGCTCCTAGCTTCGGATTGGCACAGCTCCAGCCACTGTGGCCAACTGGGGAGTGTATCAGCGGATGGAAGACCTCTCTGCCTCTCCTTCTGTCGCTGTGTAACTCTTTCAAATAAATAAATAAATAATCTTTAAGACAAACAAATAAACAAACAAAAAAACAGAGGGAGGGGAGGGCATTTGGCCTAGTGGTTAACCTGCTGCTTAGAACCACCACAACCCATATGGGAGTTCTGGGTTCAAGTTCTTTTTTTTTTTTTTTTTTTTTTTTTTTGACAGGCAGAGTGGACAGTGAGAGAGAGACAGAGAGAGAAAGGTCTTCCTTTGCCGTTGGTTCACCCTCCAATGGCCGCCGCTGCAGCCGGTGCACCGCGCTGATCCTGGCAGGAGCCAGGAGCCAGGTGCTTTTCCTGGTCTCCCATGGGGTGCAGGGCCCAAGCACCTGGGCCATCCTCCACTGCACTCCCTGGCCATAGCAGAGAGCTGGCCTGGAAGAGGGGCAACCGGGACAGAATCCGGCGCCCCAACCGGGACTAGAACCCGGTGTGCCGGCGCCGCAAGGTGGAGGATTAGCCTATTGAGCCACGGCGCCGGCTGGGTTCAAGTTCTACTTCAGGTTCTTGATTCTAGCTTTCTGCCAATATGCTCCCTCCCCCTGACCCTGGAAGGTACCAGGGGATGGCTCAAGTTCTTGGGTCCCTGCCACCAATATAGGAGACCTGGATTAAGGTCCTAGCTCCCAGCTTCAGCCTGGGGAGCTCTCTGTTCATCTCTCTCTGCCTCTCACACAAATTAATATGTGTGTGTGTGTATGTATAAATAATCTCACCAAAAAAATAATCTCACCAATTAAAAAAACAAGAGTGAGACAGCCGCTGGATTGGAGTGGGACAGAAGGGATGAGCCCTCATGCACAGCTGGTGACACTGGCTGCAGAGCTGTGTGCTCACTCACGGGCATGCAGGCATAGGGCCCACACTGTTACTGTGGCACTCTTTGTCATCTGATTTCTTTTTTCTTTTCTTTTTCCTTTCCTTTCTATCTCTCTCGACAGGCAGAGTTAGAGAGAGAGACAGAGAGAAAGGTCTTCCTTTTCTGTTGGTTCACCCCCCAAATGGCCGCTGCAGCCAGCGCGCTGCACCGATCCGAAGCCAGAAGCCAGGCACTTCCTCCTGGTCTCCCATGGGGTGCAGGGCCCAAGCACTTGGGCCATCTTCCACTGCACTCCCGGGCCACAGCAGAGAGCTGGCCTGGAACAGGGGCAACCGGGACAGAATCCGGCGCCCCGACCGGGACTAGAACCCAGTGTGCCGGCGCCACAAGCAGAGGATTAGTCTAGTGAGCTGTGGCGCCGGCTTCGTCTCATTACTTCTATTTTCTCTCTGAAACAGCAAGCACGGTCATCAACTGACATAAGAAGGTATTGATGGGAGAGGAAAAAGGCATAAAATTGTCACCCAGAAAGAAAAAGTATACAGCATGGGAAAAAGAGTAAGCTGTCCTGGCGTTTCAGAGAAGAAAACAATCCCTGCACTTGCAGAGAGAAGTCTGAGTCAGGACGACAGCGAGGCTGCCGCAGAGGCTGTCTCTAAGGAGGCGGCTTTGCGGCGGAGACACTCACTGTCAGTGGTTTCTGCAGCACAACCAATACTCACCAGCTCCTCTGAGAACTCGTGCCTTCTCACAAATCTTGATGAACTTCCTTCTGCAGCACCTGTTAGTATCTTCATTAGGGTTTCCAACGCGTTTGACTGGATGTGGATCATAATCTGAATACAAAGAAACACGCAAAGCCAAGGCTGAGCCAGTATGTCAGTGCTGAGCAACGCCGCGCACCCTCCCTGCTTTGCAGCGGTCACCCATCTTCACGTGCCTGCCCCCGTGCAGGCTGCTCTGAACAATGCCCACCAGTCACAACTGGCTTTCCACGAGCCAACCAAGATGGCGCCACCTCGAACCTTGCTGACATCCTGACACTGGCGACCACCAGTATGTGACCCGGGCCAGGTACTGAATCTCTCTCTCTTTTTTTTTAAAGATTTATTTTTTTGAAAGGCAGAGTTAAAGAGAGATAGAGGAGAGAGACAGAGGAGAGAGAGAGACAGAGAGAGAGAGAGCGAGATATCTTCCATCTGTTCCTCAAATGGCTGCAATAGCCAGGGCTGGGCCAGGAGCCTCTTCCGGGTCTCCCACGTGGGTGCAGGGGCCCAAGCACTTGGGCCATCTTCCACTGCTTTCCCAGGTCATTAGCATGGAGCTGGATTGGCAGTGAGGCAGCAGGACTAGAACCGGTGCCCACATGAGATGCCGGCGCTGCAGGCCGTGGCTTTACCCGCTGAGCCCCTGAATCTCCGACTTGAAATTTCTTCTTCTGTAACACGGGGAAATTACCTTTAGGATCCACATTTTGGGTGATGCTGAGTGTGGATTAAACAGCAGCACGTGGGAGTTACTCGGGAAGCAGGGCTCGCGTCCTCCCTCCTGTGTGCTCTGGACCCAGCGGCGAGGCTCAGAACATTCCCTACCACTGGCTGGGGCAAAGTCTGGGTACCAGTGGTGCTAACCGCGGGATCTGTTCTGTTGCTTTACATGTACTTGAACACAAAGATGGCTGTAAACATATATGTCTTGAAGCATCTTTGGAAATATCAGAATCATCTAAATATCCACCTATAGGGGACTGTCTAAATTATGATCCTACCTCCCAACAGTGAAAGACTATATGGCTATGGAAGAGTATGAAGAAGTCCCAAAGGTACTGATATAGAATTATCTCTCTCTCTCTCTCTTTTTTTTTAAAATATTTAGTTATTTATTTGAAAGGCAGAGTTACAGAGAGGCAGAGGCAGAGAGAGAGAGATCTTCCATTGGCTGGTTCACTATCCAAAGGCTGCAATGGGTAGAGCTGGGCTAATTCAAAGCCAAGAGCCTGGAGCTTCCTCCCGGTCTCCCACACTGGTACAGGGGCCCAAAGGACTTGAGCCCTCTTCTACTGCTTCCCCAGGCCATAGCAGAGAGCTGGATCGGAAGTGGAGTAAGCTGGCTGCCCGTATGGGATGCCGGAACTAGGCAGAAGCTTTACCTGCTATGCCACAGCATCAGCCCCCCCAAATATTTTTTTTCCAAAATTTGGTTCTGCTTTTTGTCAGCTGTGGTGCAGTGAACATCTTGTCATATATTAACAAATATTAGAAAAAAGAAAACTCCATTTTTATCAAATGTACAGCATTATGGAAATATACCATGTTTCATTCTACTCACCAATGTGTATACATTTTTAAAAAATGGCAATTTCTTAGACTTGATTCCCAGAATGAAATTCTAAGCCAAGGGTATACGCATTTTTAAGGCTCTTGAACTTTATGAAAGGTAGTTTTTCTGGAAAACATTTTTCTTTTTTATATTGAACCAGCTATGTTCTCTCTCACCTGTTTTGTATCATTTATTTGTTGAGTAATTTATCAGGATGTCGGGTTATCTTTTTTAAAAAATGTATTTATTTGAAAGGTAGAGAGACAGAGAGAGAGAAAGAAAGAGAGAGTTTTAAATCTACTGGTTCTTTCCCCAGATGGCTGCAACAACTGGGCTGAGCCAGGTTGAAGAGCCTGGAACTCCATCCAGGTCTCCCACATGGGTACTTGGGTTATTTTCACTGCTTTCTCAAGTGCATTCGTAGTGAGCCAGATCAGAAGTGCAACAGCTGGGACTTGCACTGGCACTCATACGGAGGCCAGCGCATCACAGACGCCAGCTTAGCCTGCTGCATCACAACAGCAGCCCTAAGGGGTTCCCTTTGGTCCTCAAGAAGAGAATGAAATGATCCCAGGCAAACTAGATGTGAGTGCAAAAAGCCTGATCTAAACTCAATGTTCTAAAGTGCAGGCAAAACCATGAGCACACCCAATGTTGAGACAACTCTCCAGGGGTCTCTCCAATTTCTGCCAGTCACGTGAGCAAAAATATGACTGCCTTTATCCCTACCTTTTCCAGGATGCCTCATGAACCACAGGTGGAGTGTCTTCTCCAGAGCAAATGGGCATGGCATGTTTACTGCTTGTTGTAAGAGAGTTGGAGGGGCTGGCGCTGTGGTGCAGTGGGTTAATCCTCCGTCTGCAGCGCCAGCATCTGATACGGATGCTGGTTCTAGTCCCAGCCGCTCCTCTTCCCATCCAGCTCTCTGCTGTGGCCTGGGAAAGCAGAAGATGGTCCGAGCGCTTGGGCCCCCGCACCCAGAAGAAGCTCCTGGCTCCTGGCTCCTGATCACTTCAGCTCAGGCCATTATGGCCCTTTGGGGAGTGAACCAGCGGATGAAGACCTTTCTCTCCCTCTCCCTCTCACTGTCTGTAACTCTATCTTTTTAAACCTTTAAAAAAAAAAAAAGACAGAGAGATTTGGGTTCCCTAAGCTCATGGTTCTTTTCTTCAATGCAACCCCCATGTGCAAGAGATATACTGGGCTTCTCAATGTCGCCCTATTGGAACTGGGGCTCTGGGAGCTCATGCAAAAATACAACCACTGTGGTTACTGCCACTGCTGTCCTAAACCAACCTTTATCCCCTGGTACGCTGTGCGTCACAGCAGCACCCATGAGTCGGGCCAGGCTAATGAATTAGCTTGCGAGTGGGGTAAAGTCTTGGCATCTTCACGTTCTTAACAGCCGAATAATAAAACCAACGGCAATTTTGCGGCAGCACTGTCTCTCCTCAGAGGCAAGGACAAGTCGACCTTGTGGAACACTGCGTCTCCAGTTCCTGGCACTGGCTCTCCCTGAACAAACGGGAAGGAGAGTGGAGGGCCCCAAGCAATTTGCAAGGACAAGTCACTGGAGCCCTAGGCGAGCAACCAGGTGCTCCCACGGGGGTGGGGGCCAGACAGCAACCTCACTGCTTCGATTTTCCCCACCTCCCTTCCCGCCTCCGGCAACGGCCTGTGATTCAGCCGGGATCTCAAGAACAAAGTTCACTATCTTAAAACACTGATGACGAGCAATACACACGAGGCCGTTACCAATGAAAGACAAAGAGAGAGCTTCAAGTTTTTCAAAGCCACATCTCAGGGTGCAGTTAAAGAAAAAACTAAAGCAGAGTACAGCATATTGCTTTAACCTCACAGATTTCAAAAAAGCAGTGAGGGAAACTGAATTAGCAAGGAACAGGAGAAATTATGGTGAGAAAACCTATTTAAAGAACGCATACTTCCTGTCCCCTGATTTTCTGCAGCCTCAGGAAATAAGCCACAGGACACCTCTGACCAACAGGAACAGAGTTCTGAGCAGGCAGAGGTGTACAGTTCTGGTTCTTTTAAGCTGGGCAAATCTCAGGGTGTGGTCCAGACTGCTGGTTTTCTCATCAATACCCAGCCTCCCTTTCTTCTTTGGTAACAAAACTCTCTAATTCTAATTGATTCTGTCGCATGCGGCATTCAGAGACGGTTATTTCTCAAGTGTCTTTGCAATTCAGTGTGGTCACAGGATCAAATTCCGGCCAAAACCGTGTGAGCACAAGTTGTCAGATGAGATGGCTGGGATGCACCGCCCCTGACCTAGACCGACAACCTCTAGTTTTTTACATGCAAGAAAAATAAAGCCTCTAATTTATATATACTTAAGCCTTCACTGCTCCCAACCAAATGCAATTTTTAATTTATGCATAAGGGTGACGCACTGCCACGAAGCGACTTGGGGGAAATGAGACCTGTCTCCTTTCCTGTGTGTGCAGCCAGAGACTTCACAGTGCGAGCTGGAAGTGACCTCCAGAGGTCAGCCTCTAGAGGGACCTCACTGAGTAGAAGGGACACAAAACAGTCACCTGTGTTATCAAATAAATGATACAAGTAGCAAGACCAATCACATGTCCCTTGGATGGTAAATGGGTCACCACTTGGAAAGAAGTCAGATTTCTAGAAAAACGATTAGAATTCACAAACAGAATCAGTGGAAAGTTACCGTGTGTCCATCTCTCTGCTACTTTTAGACATACATGGAAGTAGTGATTAATCCTTTGGTGTTAAGCAGTGTCACTAAAGAGGGACCATTGTTTTCTTGAGATTGACGGGTTTAAATTCAGACTGAAAGGGCAGAGTCAACATCTGCGTGTCTCTCGGAGAGTCTCTGCTAAATCAATGCAGTGACTTAGCAGGGAAAACAACAAACCTCCGGGTCATTTAGGTGGCAAAAACAACATAGATAAAAGAAAATTAAGTTTGGGGAAAATTAGGTAAATTCAATTTCCAATTGGCAGCAGCACAAGATTTTCGTGTAAGGCTTTGATTTTTGAAGCAGATCAGAAAAAAACCAAACCATACCCTACATTTATCTTTTTTTAACACTGCCTGGACGGTCTCTCTACTCTATTTCCCATCCCATGTGTCAGGCTCCCGGGCCTTAATAATTAATAAATTGCCTTTAAGGGTTCCAAGTGACACAGCCTTGGAGAAGCTAAGGCCATCATCAATTTTTGCAGTTCTCCAATAACAAACACCAGAATCTGAAAGACCACCAAGCTTGAGAACAGCATCTTCCAGAAGATGAAACACACTTAGGTTGCAACATGAGCAATTCAGACTGGACTGGAAGGACTTCCTGAGAATTTCTAAACAACAGGATTCCATAAGTTCCCAGACAACCGGTACTTCCTGATGGTGGTCATGGAAGGATGATTCCTCTTCCAGATCAATTCAAGCTGCCTCACCTGGTCCTTGCCCGAGTGCAGCCCACCCCCCATATGTAATGGCTGACCTGCCTTCCCAGCTGTCTGAGAAGGGGCTGGCCCGCTGCCCTGGCTGGCCTGCTGCACATCTCTCCCTCCTGGGGATGGACAGCTCCACTTTCGCAGCCTCCTGGCTTATTTCCACCAAAGTACTTTCCCATTTGAAAACAACTATGGGGGCTGGTGTTGTGGCACAGTGGATTAATGCCCTGGCCTGAAGCGCCAGCATCCCATATGGGTGCCGGTTCTAGTCCCGGCTGCCCCTCTTCTAATCTAGCTCTGTGCTATGGCCTGGGAAAGCAGAAGATGGCCCAACTCCTTGGGTCCCTGCACCCTTGTGGGAAACCCGGAGGAAGCTCCTGGCTCCTAATTGGCGCAGCTACGGCCATTGCGGCCAATTGGGGAGTGAACCATTGGATGGAAGACCTCTCTCTCTGCCTCTCCTCTTTGTGTGACTCTGACTTTCAAATAAATACATCTTTAAAAGAGAAAGAAAGAAAGAAAGGAAGAAAGAAAGAAAGAACGAACGAACGAACCATTACCAGGTCTCCTATCAACCACGTCGGCACGGACTGGGCCGAGGAGTCTAAAGCACGGATGTGTGTCACACGTACCTGGGCACGTCACGTTTTCCGACACCCAGTCAGCGGCCCGTCTCACCCCTGCACTGAAGATGCACAGCCCTTCCTGGCTCTGTAGGTCTGGAAGGGCACAGGAGCCCTGACTCTGCTCGCTACCTTACTCACCCGCAGCATCTGCACTTCCACATCTGCACTACGGAGATACTGTTCTCAGTACAGCACCTCGCGGGGTGCCTTAGCTAAACTGAGTTACAACCCAGCCTATGCCAGCCGCTTCCGTTTCTCACTGTGAATCCTGACTGCTCCACTCTAGGCAAAGCTGCTCTCCATGTAGAGCGCCACCCCCAGGCTCCCCTGCCTTCCTTGCCTACCCCCGGCGTGAAGCACATGGACAGCTCTCTGGCTTAAGTGGAAGAGCCTGGCTAATTTCATCAATCCACCTTCCGGCCCAGCGTGAAATCAGCATGTGTGCACGTCTCCCTCTCTCCCAGAAACAGACACCAGAGCTGTGCACATCCAGCAGGAAGCAGAGAAGACGACAAGAGAAGCATCCATTGCTGGTTCCAATAGCCTGAGCGTGTGCACTCTGGACCTGGCCCAGCACTGGCCTCCTAGCCCTGCCTTGGCCAGGAGCTCTCCGGGCTGTACCACTTGTAGCCTCTCTTGGGCCCCCGGTCTCAGAGCAGGGGCCGGCTGCAGAAGGCTATGCTGGAAGGGCTTCCGGTCCTCACGGGTTTCTATGCAGCTGCTGTTCCTGCCCTGTCTTTCCTGATGCCCCCCTTCCCCCTGCCCCCACCATTACCAGCTATACACAGGGAAGTTCTGCACTGACAGCCTGGACACTCACCCCCTCCAAAACAAACCTCTCTGCCAACGTCCTTCAGGAAGTCGGTCTCTTCCCTTCCAAACCGCCTCTCTTTTTCATGTTCTCTGTCACCACTGCCTCTGTCTTTCCGGTTCCTTAGACTCATCTTTGATCACGGGAGGAGCAGGCGTGAAGCCCACTGCGAGCCTCGGACTTCTTGTCTGCCTTGTCCTAGCTATGAAGTTTACCCAAAGAAAGGCTGCCGCGCTCCCGTAAAGTCGTCTGGGCACGGGGGCAAGGGTGGCATATGAGGACGGCCTCTGTGGGCAGCACCGAAAAATCAGTTACCTTTATTCCCTTTAGAAGCTTGGAGTTACACCTAATTCCTATTCGCTGGGTTGAGAGTTGGCTACAAAGGAATATTCCTTTTTGGGAACTCACCCCAGGCCAAACAAACGTTACTGGTATTAGCAAACATCCACTGAGCCCTGACCCCGTGCTGGCCACTGCGCCCACTACTGTACGTGTCTTGGAATCCTCATCATGAAGCGGCTGCTACTCTGCTTCAGATCTCAGGAAGCAGGGTCTGTGGAGGTAACTTACCCGGTGACGCACAGCGAGAAAGGGGCTCACAGCACACAGTTTCTATTCTCCCAGACGGCAGCCTCCCCACCACCACCAGAGTGCCCATCACCTCCATCCCACCAATCCCACCAGTCCCACCTATCCCCTGTCCCTGGCCCCTTCCTGCACACTGCCTGCCCATGACCTCTTCCTTCCCAGGACCCCTTCTTTCCCTCCACTCCCTGTCCTGGAACACCCCCATCAGCTGTGACCTGTCACCCTAGTCCATGCCACAGTGGGCTGCGCATACTTCTGTTGGATTATTTTATTTATTTTTATGTAAAGATTTATTTATTTTGAAAGGAAGAGTTGGAGAGAGAGAGAGAGAGAGAGAGAGAGAGAGAGAGAAGAATCTTCCATCCACTGGTTCACTTCCCAAATGGCCACAAGGGCTGGGGCTGGGCCAGGCTGAAGCCAGAAACCAGGAGCTTCTTCCGGGTCTCCCAGGTGGATGGCAAGGGCCCCAGCACTCGGGCCATTCTCCACTGCTCTCTCAGGCACATTAGCAGGGAGCTGGATCAGGAGGTGGAGTAGCAGCGACTCGAGCAGTGCCTTTATGGGACGCCAGCAGCGCAGGTGGCAGCTTTACCTGTTACGCTGCCACAGCACAGGCCCCAGACTTCTGCTCCTTTGAAAACATTCTCCTCATCCCAGCTCCTGGACTGTTTCAGGACCCTGGCAACACAGCTCCAAACAAGGGACACAGGTGGCCCAGAGAACGCAACAGGGTGGATGGGTCCGGTAGACGGCATCACTGTGGGAATGAGGACAGGGCCTGTTTCCTGAGTGCTTATCGCGTGTCAGGCACTGCTTCATGCACCATAGGAACACGAGCTCGTTAATCACCAGGACAGGTATCTCTCAAGGAGGCTGGAGCTCCGCCTCTATGCCCTCCCTCTCTCCACATTGACAGGCTCACTAGACTTGACACACGCCTTCAGTACTTAGCTGTGTTGTGTTTCTGAGTAGATCCACCTTTCCCATCTGTTTATGAATGTGCTATGTTGACTCCCCCCGTGGGTGGGGAGGTACTGTACCTCTCACAAGAGGATTTGGACAACGGATCATTCATTTGAACTAAATGAGGACCCTGGGCCATCATGTCAATGCACACAACAAAATTCAGCATCATTTCACCACATTTCAAGTCTTACTTTAAACCATCAAGGAGTCACTTACATTTAAGTTAGTGCAGGTTATGCTTTCTGGATTCATGATTTGGGAAAAAATGGACACAGCTTTTGCCACTTGATTCTAGAAGGGAAAAAAAAAATCAAGTTATATCTCAAAGCAAGATCACTGTGCCGCCACAGAGATCATTTAGAGAAGACGGGATATTCCTATGCATGAGGACCCAGAGTTTGGAAGTGCGCAGATAAAGGATTTCGGTGATCAGAAATAAACATTCCCTAAGATGTTTCACCCAGAGTCTTGTTAGTGGATGTTCTCACAGCTACCTGAGATGGGGGCTGGCACTGCCCCTTCTCCAACAGAACTGCTTTCAAGACAAACAGGAATAAGCAATACGAATGCAAGCCCCATCTCAGACATAATTAGAACAGAGAAACCTCAAAGCACAGTAGAGGTGGAGGCAGCGCCAGAAACGTGGGAGATGGAGCGGGGGACAGTACAGGAGGAGGCAGGATCGAAATGAGAAAAAGGAACAAGATCGAGTAGATCAGAAGTAGAAAAATACCAGGCAGGCCAGTGTCTTCACAGCAGAGCTCCATCCTGGATGACAGAGGTGTGAGGCCTGAAATCTGTCTAGAGGAGAGCAAGCGTCACCTCGGAATTTTAAGTCTGGTCAAAGCGTAGTTCAAGTACAAAAACCAAAAGTCCAATAAAATAATTTCAACTATTATTCTCCTGAAGAATTTATTAGAAGACAAGACCTTGGCCAACCAGGAGAAGACTGGGAAAACAACAGCACAACACCTGGCAGTAAACAAAGAACCTACTGAACTAGACAGAGGGCCAAGTCACATGTGGGAATATGGTTACAGAATGGAGTGCACTTGCTACACACTGGACAATGAGGAAATGACAATATGAATAGAAGTCAGGAAGAGAAGGGAAAAGAAGGTAAGGGGCGGAGAAAGCACCCCTATTTCTTCGTCTTTATTATCTGCAGATTGCTGACAACTCAAATGTATTTAAGAGAAAAGTCAACATTATGAGAGATAACATATCAACTAAAATTAAGTGGTGGAAGAGGAAAATAACAGAAAAAGGAAAAATAAACAAATTTTACCATTACTTATGGTAGTAACAAATTGACATTACAAAAGGATTGAGGATGAAGAATATTAAAGTATAGCTTTAAAGTAATCACAAGGGCAAGAGCACACAGACAACAAGCACATGACACATTTTAGAAGTTAAAAACCACAAAGCATCACATTAAATGAGACCTAAGATCAAATATATGTCATACTAATGGGAAACAGTCCAAGAAAGACGAGCATCATATCATAAAGCAAAGTTGAAATTGAGGCAGTGTATCAGAGACATGCCTATGAAACGAAACCATTCAGAAAGATTACCAAAATGGGGGAGGGGGGGCTTGGAAAAGGCATGTATCAGGCAATTATAAACCCAATCAGAACCAGGAGACAAAACACAGAGGTGGAGTTCATAGCAAAAGCAGCAAACACAACGGAGAGGGGTACTCTACAGTGCTCAAGCGAGGGAGTCAACGACTCCAAACCAATGGTAACACAACTGTGCATCCAACGCTCTAACCCACACATGCCCAAGGGAAAACCACAGGTGCTACAAAAATAACCAGAAGCGCCAGCCTTTAATTTATCTCGCTCAGTCCAGGAGAGAAAAAGAGGACAAGAAGATTCCCTGGACAGAGAGGGACGCTTGGGGAGTTAAAGAAACCATCAGGGCCCTATGGAAGGCTGGGAAGAACATGTCCTCTCGAGTTCGAGTTCTTCAGTGGCTCTGTCCGACAGAGCATGGAAACGGACCACTGTTACTCGCGTTTGTAATTAAGCCAAGAACACTCCAGCCGTGTTTCACCAGCTGGACTGGTCATTCTTTCTGCTACAACATTTCCGTGTACGCACAGCAAGCCTTGGAATAGGAACTCCCCAAAGAGGGGGCTCTTGTTGTTTTTTTTTTTTTTTTTAACTTTTATTTAATGAATATAAATTTCCAAAGTACAGCTTATGGATTACAATGGCTTCCCCCGCCCCATAACTTCCCTCCCACCCACAACCCTCCCCTTTCCCTCTCCCTCAAGGAGGGGGCTCTTCTAAAGAGCATGTACTCCAGACTTCCAGCTCTGAGTGACCCCCTCCAGGGGATGGCTCACCACTGCCCCTCTTCTCTCTGGGCCTCACCTGTCCAGTAAGAGGGAAACCATCCCACAAGTCTCATCTGAACAGTATCTCTTGGGTTTCACTGTGAGACCCCCCCATTTCCACACCGGGTCAAGCCCATGCACCCACTCTCCTGAGATGGAATCAGCTTTGGAGAACATTAAATGGTTCTCTGAGAACCTGATCTAGAAGATGGAGCACTGCAATTTTCATTTTTAATTACCTGAGAAATTTCCTGTAGAGTGCAACTCCCCTCCTTGATTCTCCACAGGATCTAAACCAACCCCCTCTAAACAAAAATGCTTGCTAGGTCCTCAATGCAAAACGGAAACTTCTTTTTTTAAGGCACAGAGATAAACTTTTTTGGAGGGGGCAGACATAGAAACACAGGTTTCATGGCAACAAAGACATTGGTTTCTTTATGGGAACTTCTTTGCAATGCAGTCAGAAGGGCAAAAATGCAACAGCAGGAACAAGTGAAAGTACAGTGTGCACCCTGACCTTACCTGATTCAGAGCTAATGCCACGGCGAAGCAGGATGCTCTCCTGGAGAGAATTTCCCCTCTGATCAGGGCTTCCTCCCTTAACATAGTGCAGATTTTGAAAGACTCGGGGCTGTTCTGTGAGGAGAGGGGATTGCTTAATAAATGTCGTGTACCTTTAAGTTGCACAAAGTGATACACAGAGTTCAGTACTTCAGCTTTCCTTCTGTGACTGTTTCCCAGAGCCCACCTCAAGCCACCGAAGTGACTACGCTCCATTCAGACGATCTGCATGTAGACAAGGTTCCCTGTAAGTTAGCAGCTCAAGTCTAAATTATCTTTGTTTTTAAAGCTTGCTGTCAATTTTCTGAATTGGAGCAGTTTCACAACACACACAGATTTCTTTGTCTCTGGGCAGGGTGGATTCTAGACATAAGCCCTACAAAGTACAAATATACAGAGTCTGCCTGTCCCTACATTGAATAGTACAGTGAGGCTCAACACTTGGAAACTGCTGGAATACAAATTATTAAAGAATCTCACAAAAATAGAAACCTTAAAAAAAATCCAAGCAGATGAGTGCTACGCAAACCAGTGAAGACAGCAGCGGTCTACCCAGCCCTCTCCCCTGTGCTTGCTGTGGGTGCATTAGGTGTAGGGGAGCAGTGGCAGCTGTGCATCCACGTCACCCAGACGTGACATGACGCACAAGCCGCATTTGGTGGGACAGGGTGGTGGCTACAACTAGGAATGGGCACTGGCTGACCAGCTCGTCTTGGATACAACAGGGGGAGACATGTCTTCTGGCCTGTCCTAAGTAGTGCAATGAAATTCTCTCCACTTCAGGATACACTCAGGGAACCACCCTAAGTAGGCCAGAAAACTGAGATCCTGGGGTTAACAACCAGTATTCCAGCATCATGTGCTCTGCTGGCCTTCTAGTTCACAGAATCATAGAACAGTACAACAGCAAAGGACCACCTAATCCAGGGTCTGTGAACCATGGCCCTTGAGGCAGATCCGGCCTACAGCAAAGAATGGTTTCACATTTTAAAGGTTTATAAAAGCAAAAACAAAGAAGAATATGTGACAGAGATGGTAAGGTAGTCCTCCAAACCTAAAATACAAGCTCAGCGGGCCGGTGCCGTGGCTCACTAGGCTAATCCTCCACCTGCGGCGCCGGCACACCAGGTTCTAGTCCCAGTTGGGGCGCCGGGTTCTGTCCCGGTTGCTCCTTTTCCAGCCCAGCTCTCTGCTGTGGCCCGCGAGTGCAGTGGAGGATGGCCCAGGTCCTTGGGCCCTGCACCCACATGGGATACCAGGAGGAAGCACCTGGCTCCTGGCTTCGGATCAGTGCAGCACGCTAGCCGTAGCAGCCATTTTGGGGGTGAACCAATGGAAAAGGAAGACCTTTCTGTCTGTCTCTCTCTCTCTAACTCTGCCTGTCAAAAAAAAAAAAAAAAAAAAGAAAATTAAGAAAATCACACACACAAAAAAATACGAGCTCAGCAACCTTATTACAACAATCTGAAATCCAAAACGTTTTCAGCAACCATGACACTCACAAGATTCAGGTTTCAGGAACAGGTGTTTGGGCAAGGCTAGGATACCAATGACACTGGCAGCACCCCATGGGGTACCTGAACTTGATTCCTGGCTCTGGCTCCTGACTCTAGGTTCCTGCTAATGCAGACCCTAAGAGGCAGCAGTGATGGCACAAGTACTTAAGTCTTTATAACCCACATAGGAGGCCCAGACTGAATTCCTGGCTCCCAGTTTCTGCCTGGTCTAGCCACAGCAACTGTGGGCACTTAGGGAAATAAACCAGTGCATAGGAGTTCTCTTTCAAATACATAATAATGAAAGAAAAAAGTTGCAGATATCAGAGCAATGAGACTTTTGGATCGGGGTGCTCAACCGGTAAAGCCTATACAAATATAATCTAGAAAACGCCAAATCTGAAACCCTTTTGGCCCACACATTTCAGATAAAGGATATTCAACCTGTGTACTCTCTGGCCTTTTATAGAAAAAGTCTGCTGGCTCCTGAATCCACCTGTATCATTTTACAAACAAAATAATCAGTTCAAAACCATGTAAGTCACTGGATGCGAGGCTGAGGTCAGACTCAGTTTGTAGTGTGGTGTTTGTTCTGCCCCTCGTTTTGGACAGGTGGTACTGCCACACTCCCAGGAGAGATTTTCAGTGGCCCATGTTCTTCTAGCTCCATTTTGGTATTACTGTTTTCAGTTCAAAAAGGTTTTGTTATCCAGGTTTCCAAAGTTTAAATGGCAGGAATGACTACACTTACATGTTCAATCTTGGTTATTTCACTATTTCTGTTCTCATTCATTCAATAAATACTGAAGCAGTTTCTGTGTACAAGAAGCAATCTGTTGGGGCCGGTGCTATGGCATAGTGGGTAAAGCCACCTCCTGCAGTACCAGCATCCCACATGGGCACCGGTTTGAGTCCCAGCTACTCAACTTCCGATCCAGCTCTCTGCTACGGCCTGGGAAAGCAGTAGAAGATGGCCCAAGTCCTTGAGCCCCTGCACCTGTGTGGGAGACCTGGAAGAAGCTCCTGGCTCCGGGCTTCAGATTGGCGCAGCTCTGGCCAATTGAGGAGTGAACCAGCAGATGGAAGGTCTCTCTCTCTCTCTCTGCCTCTCTTTCTCTGTGCAACTCTTTCAAATAAATAAATATATATATATATTTTAAAAATGTTTAAAGAAGCAATCTTTTACAGTAATGAAGTAAGGACTTAAAAGTCACGGCCTGCCTCCATGAAGAGTTCATTTTCAGGTCACATACTTTTGTTAAAGGCACCTTGGCAGGTGCTGAATACAAAGAAGCCTCAAGGAGCTCCCACAAAGGGGACAGAACACATGGCGAACCTGGGTTTTCTAAAAATGAGTACATTTAAAACTGAAATATTTGCACCAGACGGGAAAACATACTTCAAAGGAACTAAATTTTATTTGTAAACAATAAATAAGGAAATCTTCAGGACTACCCATAATGCCCAGAAAGTTAATGGGAAACAGCCTTACCAGTTTGTAGCAAATGGCAAATGCAAGGACATAGGTATCTTTGCTGAACTTCACATCTTGGTTTTTCATCTCAATCAACACCTCCAGGGCACCTGCCAAAGGTGAGGAGTGGGTCAGCAAGGTCAGAGTTTCTCTGCTCGTGGCCCCCGAAGCTCCCATCTGTTCAGCACTACCTACTGAAAAGCCATAGCACAACAGCACCTACTTCTCAAGGTCCTTTTGCAATTGCTAAAAAGAATCATATCATGCAGCCAAAACTGGCATTTCAAAATCTATCACAATTTCAGCATAAAGAAAGTCTAGAATGCTTAGTTTAAGGCATGGAATACAAGGCAGTTTTTTTTTTTTTTTTAAGATTTTTATTTGTTTAGTTGACAGGCAGAGTTACAGACAGTGAGAGAGACAGACAGACAGAGAGAAAGGTCTTCTTTCCGTTGGTTCACTCCCCTAATGGCCGCCACGGCCGGAGCTACACCAATCCGAAGCCAGGAGGCAGGCGCTTCTTTCCTGGTCTCCTACGAAGGTGCAGGGGCCCAAGCACTTGGGCCATCCTCCACTGCCTTCCCATGCCACAGCAGAGAGCTGGACTGGAAGAGGAGCAACTGGGACTAGAACCAGCGCCCATATGGGATGTGGGCGCTGCAGGTGGAGGATTAACCTAGTGCGCCACCACGCCGGCCCCAAGGCAGTGTTTTCAAACACAAAAGAAGGAGATCTCCATGATTCAGTCCCTCAACAAGAACATAAGCATTATTTTTACACGGTCTTTTTTTTTTCTTCCCCGATGGCTATAGGAGCATAGATGGCAGAATTTTTCAGCAAACACGCCACAGTACTTACTTTGATATTTGCCTTTATTAAATAACATCTCCATCAAAATATTGAATGATGTGGCGTCGGAGAAGAAACCTCGCAATTGCTAAGGAAGAAAAACAGTAGTTTGGTTAGAAATTAAAACATTTAAGAGGGTATTTATACTGTATCTCCTTTACTGAAGGGTTCTTTTTCTGCATACTTCACTCACTTGGCCTCCTGGATTCTCGAATAAATCTGATACAGGAGGGGTTTACTTTTGAACAAAATTAAAGTGCTGCCACTGTCTCGTCGGCCGTGCCTTTGGGAATGAGCACACTGAACTAGAATCAAGAGATAAGGCAGATCTCTGGGTTTCATAAACAGCAAAGAAAGTCTTTATGACATGTGTGGCTCTGCCATACTTAGGAGAAAAGCAACAGGCCATCTATCCCTGCCAGGGCTCCTGGAACCTGGGCGCTAGCTGGTTTTTGGGTTTTGTAAAACCTGATTTATTTTATTCATTTGAAAGGCAGAGTGACAGAGAGAGACTGAGATTTTCCATCCGCTGGCCCACTCCCCAGATGGCAACGACGGCAGGGGCCAGGCCAAGCTGAGGCCAGGAGCTCCGACGCCGTTCTTCCACGTGGGTGGCAGGGGCACAAGTACTCAGGCTGCCCTTCCAGGCACAGCAGCAGGGAGCAGGATCAGAGGAGAGCAGCTGAGGCTTGGAACTGGTGCTTGGATGCGGGCTGCCAATGACACACGCCACAGCTCAATCTGCTGTGCCACGATGCTGGCCCTGGGTGCTAGTTGTTAACATGAAGTGGTAGCTACAAATACACATGAGGATGAATGCAGGAGGGTCTCATTCAACTATGGTCCTCTTGGGGTAAACAGGTTCAATTACTTACTTTTTGAAATAATTCACTCAAGGAGTGATTCTTTCAAAAAAAATTTTAGCAGACACATAAAAATTATATTTATCTATGGGGCATACATGTTTCAATATATGTGTATATTGTGTAATGTCCAATCAGGGTAAACATGCCTATCTCTTCAAACATTTCACATTGCTATATTGTGAAAACATGCAAAATCCTATCTTCTAGAGTTTTTAGAGGGAAATTACAGTATGTACATTACATACAAATATACAGTATGTACATTATGGTCAGCTGCTGTGTAACAGAACCCAGAACTTTTTACCCTGATTATAACTCAGTATCTGTTAATTAACCTCTCCCCATTCCCCTTCTTCCCCCTCCTCCTGCTTCCTTCCCCAGCCTCTCATAACCACTGTTACATCTTCCATGAGATCTTTTTTCCCCCAAGATTCCACATACGAGAGATCATGTGATTCTCGCATCGCTGTGCTTGGCTTAACACAGTGACCTCCAGTCCGCCATGCTGCTGCCAGTGGTGGCTCCAGCCTCCTCACGGCTGAGTAAGACCCGTGCAGGTAGCGCGTTTTCTCTGTTCACCCCACGGTGCACAGGCCTCCACCTTGTTTTCCACAATGGCTATACCAATTTACATTGCCACTAACAACATTTAAGGGTGCCCTTTTTTCCTTGCCAGCATTTGTTAATTTTTATTTTTTGGCAACAGCCAATCTAACAGTGGCAAGCAGGACTCTCACTGTGGTTTTGATATGCATCTTCCCTGATGACTCGTGATGCTGACCATCTTTACACATGTCTGTTGGCCACTGGTATGTCTTCCAAGAAATGTCTATTTTGATCTCACTGCTTAATTCTTTTGCTGTTGGGGTGAGTTCCTTATATATTCTTGTTATTAACATCTCATCAGAGATATAACTTGCAAGTATTTGATCCCATTCTGCACACTGCCTCTTCAGTCTGTTGACTCCTTTGCTGTACAGAGGCTCTTTACTTTGACAAAATACCATTTTACTTTTGTCTTTGTTTCTTCTGCTTTCCTGCTCCAAGAAATCCTTGCCCATTCTAATGTCCTGGAGCATCTCCCCTATCTTTCCTTCCAGTATAAAATGGCAACTCTTAAAATTTTTTCAACTTGTATTTACTTAAAAGGACAAGCATTAGATATACTTATGAACATGTTTTGAAACATGCATACATTGTGGAATGGCTAGGTTGAGCTAATTAACATATGTATTACTTTACATATTTATTTCTTTTTGTGGTTGAGACACTTAAATCGACTTCTTAGCAACTTTTAACACTGTAATACTTTTTATTTACCATGGTCATCATGTTGTGCAACAGATCTCTTAAATTTATTCCTTCTTTCTAACTGAAACTGTGTGTCTTTTAACCCACCTTCCCAACATCTGTTCAATATTCTGAAAACCATGATGATGTGACACACATGATTTCTAAATAGTTCATTAAGTGACTTGTTCGAGTCTGGTCTTTTCTGAGAGCTGATGAGGCATACCTTTTTCCAGGGGCTGAGAATAAAGAAATGGTAAACAGGCATACCCCTGCCCTACCCTAGCTGGGGCTACTACCTAGTGACACTTAAGTGCTGGTGCTGTGACAATGAATGAGTGAATAAAACAAGCGAAAATGAGAAAGACAGTTTCAAGCATCAACAACAAGGAGGCAGGGTAAAGAGAGGAGGGGTGGAGGGTGGTCAGGGAAGCTCCTCCCCAGGGCAAACTCCAGTCAGACACCAAGAGTGTGGCATGGCGGAGAAAGGACAAGAAGGTTCAGGGAGAAGCAAGCACAAGGGAGAGGGGAGGACATGAGATCAAATGCAGGGCCCTCTTGGTCGCGGTCAGGGGTCTGAGTTTCCTTCCAGAGCAGCCCTGTCCAGTGAACAGGCACTGGAAGTGGTGAGTGTGTGCTCTAGTGCATGAGAGTAAATTTCCAAATAGCCTCATTCAAAAAAAGAAAAGAGATATATGTTAAATTAACTGTTACATTATTTAACCAGCTATAACCAAAATATCATTTCTACATGTGATCAATGTAAAAAATAACGACACTTTGCATTTGCTTTTTTTATACCAAGATTTGAAATCTATCATACGCTTGTAGTTATGCACACAGCACATGCAGATTTGAACTTGTCATAGCCAAGGGCTTCATAAGTGCTTGTAGCTGGTGACTACCACCCAGGCAGCAACAGGCTAGAGGGCTCTGAGCAGGGAACACAACAAATTAGGGTAGAAGCAGGAAGAGGCTGTATGTTGTGTGTTCAGTTCTTCCTATTGTTCTAAAAAAACTTACGCATGAACTTTTCATACCCAAGCAGGTTAAAAAAATTCTTTCATTTTCTTTGTACCTTGGGTTTTTAATCATCATACTCATAGCTATGGTTTATTATTTTAAATATAGCCTAATACAGAAATCCATTAAAAAGTGAGAACTTTTTGTAATCCTACCCCCAAAGATAAGCAGTTCAATGCATATATTTCCAGATTTTTAACTACATATACACTAAAATGTAAATTATATGTCTTTTAAGAAAAAAAAAATAGGATCAAACTATCCAGAGTGATCTGAAACCACATTTTCTCCACTTACTGATTAGATTACAGTAATTGTTCTAACACACAGGTGTCCCTGAAGAAGGGCAAGTGTCCACCGGGCCATTCCACTACCCATAGAACCCCTGGACAGCTGGCTGGTTATGGAAGTTCCTAGGAACATTAAAATGAATCCTGGTCTGGCCCCAAAGCTGAATGAATGTTCTTGATCATGGATGAATTTATAGTGCCTCTGGGTCCCAGTTTTCCTCATCTAGAAAATGGGGATAATGACTGGACCTACCTCACCAGGGTAACAAACGCAGGAAACAAATGAAATAACAAAGTGCTTATTCCAATACTGAGGACACAGAAAATCCTCAATATGTAATTGTAAAAATAGCTGTTCTTGTTCTAGGAAGAGAAAATCAGAACGTGTGAAAGCATTTTGAAAATGGGGAAGCACAGCTGTAGAAAGCATCTGGGGAGTGAACCAATGGGAGGAAGATCTTTGTCTCTGTGTCATTCAAATACAATGCAATAATTTTTTAAATATATTTTTGAAGGTTTTTTTTTTTTTTTTATTTGAAAGGAAGAGTTACAAAGAGACAGAGAGATATGGGAGAGATGGAGAGAGAGATCTTCCATCCACAAGTTCACTCTCTAAATGGCTGTAACGGCTGGAGCTGAGCCAATCTGGTCAGGAGCCAGGAGTTTCTTCTGGGTCTCCCAATGGGTACAGGGGCCTAAGTACTGGGGCCATCTTTCGCTGCCTTTCCAGGCGCATTAGCAGGGAGATGATGGGAAGTGGAGCAGCCAGGACTGGAACTGGTGCCCATATGGGATGCCAGCACTGCAGATGGAGGCTTTATCAGCCCTGCCACAGGGCCGGCCTCAAATAAATTTTAAGTGGCGGATTATCTTAAACTACCCTCTACCAAAAGCTCCTGAAAGAGAGCACTACGTCCCGGGTGGACACACGAGCAAAGGAGGTGAAGACCTTGTCACCTGTACCTACAGCCCCTGGATCCCTGTGCTGCCCCTCTGTATCTGACCTGACTCCGGGGAAACAAAAGTGCAGAGGAGAGCTGTTTAGTCCGCATTTCAGGGAAAGGCTGCGGGGCTAACTCGGGAATAACGTGGATCCCTTTCCGACTTTCACAAAGAACGCCCCATCCTCGGCACAGGATCGCAGCGGCAGGGAAAGTGCTCAGGGAGCAGTCACCTGGTCCTTGACGAGCTGCACCGCAGACTCCTCCAGACCCAGCTCGTAACACAGCCTCATGAAGAGCGGGCCGAACTTATACTCCCCGAGAGGGGCGCTTCTGTTCTCTGCATGGTACCTGGGGAGCAAAGTGAGTCAGTGACCAAAGGGTGGGACACGGGAGCGAGGACGGACAGACTGTGGCATGCACTCTGCCAGTGCTGGGACACAGCAGCAAGGGGCTCCTCACCGCCTGGCGGCGGGGAGTGGCAGGAGGCCTGAAGGCAGCGCAGAGGTGCAGGCACTGCATTTAAACGAACCAAGAGCACACGTGGTTTCTCAGAGGCAGACACAGGCTGGTCGACCCGAGCAAGGCGGGAGAGTGGACGGGGTAATCACTCTGTGCACTGAGCGGCCGCCAGCCCGGGTCTGCTCAGGGGCACACTCAGGGAACGCAGGGGCCTCGCCTCTGTAACCGCATCAGCAAGGCCCCTCGGAGGAGAGCAAAGGAAGGAGTGGGATGAGCCCTGTGCTCCCCCGGCTGGCTTCACTGCCACGTGCTAGACAACCAACGGGCGTGTTTTCCAACGTGTAGCCGTCTCTGCTGCTCTACACTTGAGGCTATGACAACATCACTGAACAAAGAAGTGTGGCTCTGAAATCTGACGTCTTAGGAAAAGGTCTGTTACATCTTACTGTGACTTGGGATTTCTATGGCCAGTCAGAACTGCAGAACTGTGAATCACTAAATTTACTTTTTTTTTTTGCCAGAGTTAGACACTGAGAGAGAGTGACAGAAAGTTCTTCCTTCCGTTGGTTCACCCCCCAAATGGCTGCTGCGGCCGGCGCACTGTGCCGATCCAAAGCCAGGAGCCAGGCACTTCCTCCTGGTCTCCCATGTGGGTGCAGGGACCCAAGTACTTGGGGCATCCTCCACTGCTTTCCTGGGCCACAGCAGAGAGCTGGACTGGAAGAGGGGCAGCAGGACTAGTACCCGGCACCCCAACCAGGACTAGGACCTGGGGTGCCGGTGCTGCAGGTGGAGGATTAGCCAAGTGAGCCATGGTAACGGCCTATCTTTTTTTTTTTTTTTTTTTTAAGATTTATTTATTTATTTGAAAGTCAGAATTAGAGAGAGAGAGGGAGAGACAAAGAGAGAGAGATTTTCTATCTGCTGGGTCACTCCCCAAATGGCTATAACAGAAAGGGCTGAGCCTGGCCAAAGCCAGGAGACAGGAGCTTCTTCTGGGTCTCCCAAGTGGGTGTAGGGGCCCAAAGACCTGGGCCATCTTCTGCTGCTTTCCCAGGCCATAGCAGAGAGCTGGATTGGAAGTGGAGCACCCAGGATTTGAACCAGTGCCCATATGGGATGGTGGCACTGCAGATAGCGGCTTTGCCGGCTATGCCACAGCACAGTCCCCAAATTTACTTTCAATAACCATCTCATTGTGCTTTAGACACCTAGAGGGCAATCTGGCACTAAAGAACCACCTCGTGATTACACATAAATCAAACACAGGGGTAGGGGGCAGCCCTCACCTGAGAACTTAACACTTTCTAGTTTCTGCTGAAAACCCTGAGCAAGGCCATGGGAGTTCCATGGCTCATCTACTCCAGCATGCACAGTGTCAGATGGAATCTGATGTGTTCTGTAATGAAATTATAGAAGGGACAAGTGACATTCATTACTTCACCATACACTTCTGAATTAAGTAATTAAAAGGCAACATAGTGTAAAGGTTTGTAGACTGATTCCAAAACCAGTCTAGTGTGGGTGCCTGGTGCGGCGGTTAAGACCTCGCTTGGGATGCCCATACTCCATACTGGAATGACTGGGTTCAAGTCCCCAGCTCCACTTCTAATTCTAGGTTCCTGCTGACGCTCACCCTGGGAGGCAATGGTGATGGCTAAGCCCTTGGTACCTGTTGCCCAAGTGGGAGACCTGGATGGGCCTCCAGGTTCCCGATTCAGCCTGGCCCAGTCCTGGCTGTTGCGGGTACCTGGGGAGTACACCAGAGGGTGAAAGATCTCTGTGTTTGTCTGCCTTTCAATAAAAATGGCAAATAAAATCAAGAAAATTGGCCTTACAAACTGTGTAACCATGAGCAAATTCATCACCTACTCTGTGCCTTGGTCAAATGGAGGGAAGGAAACTCAGCTCCAAGAGTTCCTGTGAGGACTGAATGAGCGGCTGTGCCTGGCCCACAGCAAGCCTGCAGAACGCAGTGAGCTCCTACAAAGCCGAAGAGGGAGACGTCCTGAAAATCTACATGTTCCAGGATACGGTCGCAGGAGAAACTTGTGCCAGACGGAAGACAAAAGAAAGCAACAGCAAAAGCTTCCTGATTCGCCAGCCACTCTAATAAGAGTGCTGAAATGTCACTGAGATAACGGGTCACCTTTTTGACAAGTGGATCTCAACGCTCTGTATAAACCACACAACAGCAGCCGGTGATGAGCTGGAGGTGATGAAGTTGCCCCTGTTTGGGGCTCAACAGTTTCCGATTCGGCTCCTGACTCCCTCACCTGCTGCAGACCGTGCAGCTCAGCAGCAGACAGGCTGGTTGGACCACAGGTCCACCCCCCTCCCATTTGGCCAGCTGTCCACTGTCAAGGGCAAGGACGGCCCCCTGCTAGGGAGCCACTAGCCCCAAGAAGGGAGCTATGGGCCACACTCCGCTTATGATAAAAAGAAGAGTAGAAACGCTCAGAAGTTCCATTCTGACTTTTTATTCTTAGAAACCCCTGACAGCTCTGAGTAGCAAAAAGAGAGAAAGGCACACACAAGCGGGGGTGAGGGGCTGCATCTCAAATTCGTGAAACTGAGACCCAGGGTCAGGACTGCTGACACAGTGTGAGCATACATCAGCATGCCCCTTTAAGGAAATAATCTGACAGCTTGTATTGACAGACTCAAGTTCGTACCCAGGGCCAGCCCCGTGGTATAGCGGGTAAAGCCGTGGCCCAGCCTGCTGCATGAATCCTGGCTGCTTCACTTCTGATCCAGTTCCCTGTCAATGCACCTGGCAAAGCAGCAGAAGATGGCCCATGTGTTTGGGATCATGCCACCCTCTTGGGAGACCCGGAAGAAGCTCATGGCTCTTGGCTTCAGCCTGGCCATGGCAGCCATGTGAGGAGTGAACCAGCAGATGGAAGACCTCTGTCTCTCCCTCTCTCTGTGATTCTGACTTCCAAATAAATTAAATAATTAAAAAAAAAAATAAAGTTCGTACCTTCTGAGCTCAAAAAGGAAATACAGAACACGTTTTATGCAAGGCATTGCTCATCACAGCACTATTTATACTGGTAAAGAATTAAAAGTTTCTTAGATATCTGACAACGGAGACACAGTCAACAAATATATCTAATGTACAGTGGAATATTGCATTGCCATTAAAATGATTCTTGGGACCAGCGCTGTGGCATAGCGGGTAAAGCCACCAACTGCAACACTCGCATCCCATATGGGCATCAGTTCATGTTCTGGCTTCTTTACTTCCGATCCACCTCCCTGCTAATGACCTGGGAAAGGAGCAGAAGATGACCCATGTGTTTGTTTGGGCCCCTGCCATCCATCCTCTTGGGATATCCTGAAGAGGCCCCTGGCTCCTGGCTTTGGCCTGGCCCAGCCCCGGCTGTTGTGGCCATCAGGGGAGTGAACCAGCAGATGGAATGTAATCTTCTAATATTCTGTATACAAGTCTCTCATATTTCTTTCTATAAGCATGCAACATAAATGCTGGTCCATATGCAGAACTTAATTTCAGAAAAGAAGCCTACTGATTTGATGTCAGCTTGCTGTATGGCAAGTGAAACTTTTGCTGGGTTTCCCCAGAACAGGCTATGAGTCCATGCAAGCTCTCTACATGGCAAACTCCAGTATCGGTTGGGAAAGGAATGACAGGAGTGATCCAAGTGAAAGATACTGAACTAACACACTGGCCACAGAGACAGAAAGGAGGGCTACGGATGACAGACAGCATGGGAGCAGGAACAAGTGGATGCTGTATCCCATCCAGGAAGGAGAGGCAAAGGGGATCAGGGGGAAAGTCCTTAAAATACTGGTGCTGGGTGACTAGTCTGAGAGAAAACGCAGGGAAAGGGATTCGTTTGTGTATGTTGGACCTGAAGACCGGGGGCTGGAAATTTCTTAGTTCATGGATGACCTCTTTTTTCTATCCTTTGCACCTGGATAGCATGAACCATCCGTAAGGGATCCTCTAAGTGTTTATTCAGTGACTAGATCTCACAGTTTGTACCTGGGCAAGAGATCTGGACGCCATCCATGGAGAGGGGATGGCTAAAATACTGAAGTGCCTAGGGGCAGGGACCGAGTGAGAGGAGAGGAAGGCTGGTGCAGGGATCCTAAGGAGACGCCTCACCTGTAGATGACATTTTTAGCCAGCTCCACGTCGTCCCGGGACACACACAGATGAAGCAAAGTTTTCAACTCTTCTCTCAGGATGAGCTTGTTCTGGGTCAGTTTGTCTTCCAAGTTTCTAAAATAGGTTTCTGGAAGGAAGCACAGATGGTGGCCATCAGGCAGGCTGCCTCGGACTGTCACAAGCCTGACCTTGGTGGGAGAGGGAGGGCTGCCCCGGCTCACTACATGGGGCACCAAGAGGCACTCACGGACACACAGCCTCCCTCTCTGGCTGACACCCTCCAGAGCAGTGAGTGTCACAGATGGCCCAGGAAGCCACGCTGTGTCTCAGGGGGTCCTGGCCCCACTCACACTTTCTAAAACACAATCTCTGGGGGGTAGGGACACAAGAACAGATGTATTTGCCTTTCTGGGTGATCCCTGGGGTACACTGACGTTTGAGAATGGCTGTTCCAAAAGACTTGGCCCAAGTAACTGAATCTAAGGTGACCAGACACTCAACAGACCCCAACACACAGGCAGACGTGTATTACAGGCTTTATCCCCTATGGCTGCCCCACGCAAATTTTTTTTTTTTTTTTTCCCCACGCGTTTTCTCTCAGTTCCCTGCCTCCCACGTTGGAGACCCAGATGGAGCCTGGGCTCTTGGCTTAGGCCTGGCCCAGCCTTGGTTGTTATGGACATGTGGGGAACGAACCAGCAGATGGAAGATCTTTTCTCTCTCACTCTGCCTTTCAGGTAGATGAAAACAAACATTTATTTAGAAACCACATACATAAGAACTAGAAGCTGAGGCACATGCTGCTCTTGACTGATAAGAAAAAGAGGACTACAAAGTTTGAGATACTGCAAAGGACCTGTCCATGCTTATTTGCAGAACCACATACAGGATAAAGGTTTTAGAGATGAAAGGACCCAGGCTGCCATTTCAGTTCTGTCCCATGCTTGCCCTGGGGAGACTCTTGTCTCTGAGTCTTGATTCCTGGTGTACAAAGGGAGGACTATGAGTGCTACCTCACAGGTTATCTGAGGATGAGGCAGGCAAAGCATTGAGCACAAGGCCTCCCACAGAGCAAGTGCCAGGAAACAGGGACGCTGTTTTCTGTCATTCCTGTGTCACCTATTACATCTTAGAGCACGTGGCCTGCCAAATATTCCTAAACAATTTCCAATCTAAAAGATCTCAAAGGGATGACTTTACATCATGTGCCCCTTAATCCTTAATGAACCCTCTGAGCCCAACGTTTCCCAAGACGTCATGTTTAAAACCAATCAACAAACTTTTGAGTGTGTACTATATATTCATACGCATGAGTTTCCTTCTTCCTGTCTTTCACACAAAAGGACACAAAGAAGGATAAATTATGATTCCTGCCCTCAAAAAGCTCACCTACTTGGAAGACAGCATGTATTTATACAGAAGCATCCGGAAACAATGACAGAGGCGACACATGAATGACTATACACCTAGCAGGACGGAAAAGTCCTATCACAACGCCTACTATTACCCCAGGTGGCTGGACACATCAGGTTTGGTGAGAGGTGGAGTGGAACCAGTGAGGAAAACAAGGGCTGAATGGGGTTGCAGAGTCAAGGGGGCACCCCAGGCATGGAATCTGCAGGAGAAACAGAACAGAGCTGGGAGTCAAAGGGCCTAAGGAAAGACTAAGAAACCACACTAGTCTCCAGAAAGGAGAGGTTCCCTAGAGAAGGGCAAGGCTAGCCAAGGGCTGAGGATATCCGTGACACTGTCAGTGTGGCTCTTAAAGTGACAAAATGTAGACAGTAATTATAATCTTCTGACAACAGAGTAGGTTGGCACTGATTAATTGCCTTTCAGACCACATGCACACTCTTAACAGCTTTATGAAGATTTTATAACAACTGGGAATAATGAAGCGAAGACATGGAGCCCTGACTGCAAACCTCATCAGAGCTCCAAAACAACCAGGGGTGCGTGTTTGGCACAGTGGTTAAGATGCCACCTGGGACATTGTATCCCACATTCAAGTGCCCGAGTTTGAGTTCTGGTTCCACTTCTAATTCCAGCTTCCAGCTTCTGTGTACCTTGGGAGGCAATGGTGCTGACTCAAGTACTTTGGCTCCTTGCTAGCCACATGGGAGACTTGTGTTGCATTTTAGGATCCCGGCTTTGGCTTGCCTGGATCATCCAGGGCTGTTGTGGGCATGAACCAGCAGATGGAAGACATCTCTCTACCTTTCAAATCAAATGAAAATAAATAAATTGAAAACAAACCAGCCACGAATATCCTCTGGGACTTAAAAAAGAAAAGACAGACAAGACTGAAGTGAAGTGTGGATCAGGTCTGCTAAGCTGGAGATAAACACTCTCCTGTTCTTCTGAGGCATATCTCCTTGTGCTGCAGGTGGGGTTACAGAGGGGCGGGATCAGTGAAGCACGGAGGGAAGCCCCCTACTCTGGAGGACGGGAATGTATGAGAATGGGGGTGAAAAGTGCCAAACATCTGGCAATCACCTGGTAGTGAGGGAAGGACTGGGTCTACGGCTAAAAAAGGCAACAGGGACAAATGAGGTATGAAGAGAGGGCAGTCCTGGAGGTCTTCAGGGAGATGCCTGAAGTACTGAGAAGAACTGGGTATAGGAGGAAGGGAACACGTAGAGTGAGAGTTCTCAGGTCTGAAAGGGAATAGAACCAGTGGTGTCCTTGTAATCTTTTTACAAGAAAAATTTCTGAACATACTCCAAAGAGAAGAGTAAAGCGATTCCTCATGTACCCATCACCCAAACTCAACAATGACCAACATTTTGCTTCCTCTACAGTTGAAATCTATGATACTATGGATTTTTCTAGCACAGAGTAAAAAATTATCAAAATGCATTACACTGCACTGTTTTGCTTCATTCATTCCATTTTACTTTGTAGAGACATGCGTATCTTTACTGGAGATGCAACATGCCAAGGCATCACCATGGGCAACTGTGAAAGCCAGTCATCTGGAGTTCCTAGCATCGTGCACTTGAATCATCTGGGGGCCAGTCTATCTGCACTTCCATCAGTCTCTCAAGGATCCTGACACTCTGGCACAGATTCACAGAGGACCGCTGGGTTGCAGCCCCAGTTTGCAATTTCTCTGGCATCCTGGGAGAAAGGATAAGAGGAGAGCTACAGACTTTGTAGCAGCAGAGTGGGAGACCAGAAAACTAAGAATAGACGCTCTCAATTGTTTTCTGCGAGCCATAAAGTCTTCGGAATTGAGACTGAACAGGAAGGAGAGGAAACCTGAATGACAGATCAATGAAAGAATCAACAAAACAGACTGTGTTACCTTTGGTACCAGGAAGACTGCACGCAATAGCCACCTTCTTATGCTGGAACTCTTTTAATTTCACAATATTATCTGTAAGTAGGTATCTTCTAGCTAAAAACCAGAAAAAGGTAAAATTACTTTGACTTAGGTTTTGTACAGAGCAAATAACATGAGTAGAGCTTGATGGCTTTTAATCAGCTAACCTTATATTTATCTATTACAAATGTTAGGAACAAAAATGACGGTAATTCTGGTGGGGACAAAAACACTTCCAAACTACAAGAGAAGGCAAATCCTCGGCACAAGGAGTTGTGTGTGTGAAGGGAAGGCGTAAATAATCAGCTGTGTATAAGGATGGGCTGACAGCTGGCATCTACAGGACAAACAGGCACCTGCCATCCAGTTAAGGGGTAAGAAAGACATTAAGAACTCACACAGAAACAAAGTGAATACTCATCATTTAAATGCAAAAGGAATATCCACTGGGCAAGGGTGGGGAACACCCAGCCCATGGGCTGTACACAGCCTTCAAAGTCATTTGGTGGCACCCACAGGTGGGGCTGGCGCCAGTAAAACCACAGCAGGCTAATTTCTAAGTGTGTATGGCCCAGGACTGACGCCATAAACAGCTGTAAACATCCAAGTGGCCCTGGGCGGGAGGAGGTTCCCAGCCCTGGGGGAGAAGCTTCCTACAGTGTCAAGGAAAAAGCTCCCGTGTGACCACTGGAACTCGTGGGTCTGTCGTGTGGAATGAAGGGATGGTGGCCTTTCAATGCTGGACTCCACATAGCAGCCAGAAGTCACCCATCACCGCTTAGGTTTGTAAAACACATCCTTTCTTCAGGATCCTTAGCTGTGCACGAGGTAAAATGGATGAAGTTTGGTCGCAGAATCACCCACTTAGAGTACGTCCACTCCAACAATATCACGACCAAAACTGCTATTTATTGATGGAAAAAAGCAGTCCAATGAAGTGGTTATCAGCAGGTCTTTGCTGTGGACTGGCCTCAAATCCTGTCTACACCAGTTCCCTCTGGCCCCGGGCGAATGACTTAATCTCGCCCTTTTCTGCGGGTGGAGAAAGAATGGTCGGTCTCTCACGCGGGGTTGTCTGGAGGGAAGGAATTACTGCACGAAATGCGTTCAAAATCACTCCTGACGCTAGCAGTTTCAAACTTAAACCTTCTCGTAAACACACTAAGGGAACATTTTCAAAACCAGGAAAACTTGCTCAGGGTCGTTTAGATTCACAGCAGCACCCTGCGACACAGCACACCCAGGTGGGAAGGCGGCGAGGTCGCCCTCCCAGCCGAACCCAAGGCCGAGCCCTGCGGACGCCCGCGACCCTCGGGGGCCAGCGCCGCGCAGCACCCACGCGCAGCAGGCGGGCAAGGACGCCCTCCGGCCCCGGAGCGGTCCCGCTGGGGCCAACACTCCTCCTCTTCCATCCCTCCCCGCCTTCCACCGCCTGGGACCGTGGATACCTCCGAGAGGGCAGTGGCAGCAGACGGGGCCCGAGCCTTCCGCCCCGGTATACACCGAAAGCCGCAATGCCCGCAGTAGAAGTCTTTCCAAGGGCCGACGAGCGACGGCCATCCTGTCCCGGGCCGTACCAACTGCGGAAACCGGGGAGGGGGAGGGGAGACAGAGCGCAGGCCCTGGCGCCTAGAGCGTCGACGGAGTTCGTCCAATGGGAGGGCCGGCTGTGACCCCGCCCCTTCTTCCTCGGCCCGCAGCCCCCGGGACGGCGTTCTTAGTACGCTCCAAGATGGCGGCCCCCATAGTGCGGCGCGGGATGTTTCTGGCGAGGAAAGTGCTGCAGCCTCTGCTCTCCCAGTCAGGTTGGTGACGGCTGCCTTGGTGGGGTTGCTTCCCCAGGCCCCTGACTGCTCGTTTCCTTGAGTGAAGGGGGCGATGGTCTTTCAGGAGGAGAGGAGATTCTTGTAGTGTCTGGTTGCTAGAGAAGCCGTGTGGGCTGTTTGGTAGCACAAAAAGGGAAGGTAGAGATCAGTGGTCTCTCTCGCTTCATAGAATAATAGTATTTACAGCCCAAAGGCGTGGAGAGCAGAGGAAGGCTATGGCGTGAGGCATTTCGCGTACGACCTACCAGATTTATGTGTTAGGTGGTCGTCCTTTTCCTGGCCACGAAAAACCCGATTACTCCTCGCCAGGGGCTGTGACAGTTTGCCCCCCTGGGAGGCTTCCTTGGCGGGGTGTCGAGACCAGCCCTGCCCCACCACCTCATCCGTGGCCAAATCCCTGTCCTCACTTCACAGGAGAATTTTCCAGTATTCACCTCACTTTCAGCTGTTGACCTTGATTACAGCTCTTGATTGACCTTTCTTGGCTTCGGTTTTCCAGGTGTGAATAGTAACTTAATAGCTACCTGTAAATGTTTTGATATTTGAGTTGAACACAGTCTACTGAGACCTGCGTGGGGGCCCTGATGATGGAAACCTTGGGGAAAGTTTCGAAGTACTTACAGAAGCCAAGTTTGCCCTGGTTTCAGTCACATAATGCTGATAGGTGTGTCCGATTATATGATTGAAATGCATTAATCACACCCAATATTTCCAGGATTTTGAGTTAGACCTTGTGGTTCTAAAGTGTATTTCCACAACCACACTGCTTCCCTCTGAATCAGAAAAAAAGGTTGAGATGATTGATTACAGGCCACATTAACTATAAAATGGGTAAGGATGTAGAAAGAGCCAATCAGTTTTCAACACATTTTGAAATTCTGGCCCTTGGAGGTCTTTATGGATTCAGCGGAAGAAACATGTCTCTTTGAAGATGGTTACTATAGAGAATCTTGTTGCTTCAAAGTAACAGCTGACTACCTGCAGGGTAAACAGGTTCAAGAGAAGTTTGTGTGAATTCAGAGTGGGGTGAAAGTGGCTCAGAGCACTAAACCTGCGCTACTGAGATCTATCTATGCCCTTGGTAATTCAAGTGTGTCTTGAGGATTGGCAGAATCTTTCCCTCACCCCAGAGCTACAGAACTGGAATCTGCATTTTAGCAAGAGTCATACACGTTTTAAAGTTTGAGAATCTGATCTGAGTGTCAACACGTTGCTGTTGTCCACCTCACTTAATGTTCTCTCTTTACAGAAATTCTTTGGTTCTAATATATCCAGACTTTCAGTTAAGGGACAGGGATGGAAAGAACTTTGATGCCATTTGTAAAGTGTTTCCAAAAGATGGACATACTGCTTTAAAAGGCTTAACGAACATGGAATGTTTTCTTGGTGGACTTTCATGGCGTAAAATAACACAGGGGTCCTACTGACTAAAGTGAAGGGGTCAGAAGGGATGTGTCTCTAGGGGAGACTCCTGCTTCCTTGCTTTTTCCATATTCTAGAGGCATGCGCATTTCTTGGGTCATTGCCCCCCCTCTCCATCTTCATGGTGAGTAGTGGCCAGTCAGGTGCTCAGACCACTGGGCTCTTCACACATCAGTCTGAACAGAAGATTCTTGTGTGTCCTTCTGTTTTTCAGGGCTCTTGTGATTCTACGGGGCTTGCCCGGATAATCCAAGACATTCTCCTGCTTTAAGATCAGCTGATTAGCAAAACTCTGCCATGTAACCAAAGCATTCACTGGCTCTGGGGAATGGGACATAGATGTCTTTTGGAGGCCATTAGTCTGCCTACCATACTTGGTAACTCATTCCTGTTTGTCGTTGGTTTCTATTAGGAAAATACTCTGTTTGCCAACTTTAAATTCTTCATCATTATGCCTGTTTCCTTTCATCATATCTTTTAAAAGATGGAGACTGATAACTTTTTCTTTTCTTTTAAAATACAGAAAAAAGTGCACATGCACACGTGTGTGTGTGTGTGTATAAATTGCTGGGCTTACTTGTAAATTTTCTTGTCTTAATTTCTTTTCAGTGCATGTGGTTCTTTTGAACAACTGCAAGCAGGTCTTGTCTTTCCCGTTACCTCCCCACTTTTTATTTTATTTTGCTTAAAGGCAGAGAGACAGATAAAGAGAGATCTTCTATCCACTGGTTCACTTCCCAAATGCCCACAACAGCCAGGGCTGGGTCAGACCAAAGCCAGGAGCCTGGAACCCAATGCAGGTCTTCTACATGGTACCAGGGACCCAAGTACTTGAGTCATGACCAGCTGCCTCCCAGGGTGCACCTTAACAGAAAGCTGACTGGAAGCTGAGTAGCTGGGACTTGAACCAGGCACTCCAAATTGGGTGACCTGAGTGGGGACTTAACCACCATGCCTAACACTCACCCCTCTCCCCCCACCTCCTTGCTTTTTCTTTCATTTCAATACTCTTGAGCAATGGTCTCAATATTGTCTTCTCTATATAATAGAATATAGAAGAGTGCTTTTTTTTTTTTTAAGATTTATTTATTTATTTGAATGGTAGAGTGACAGAAAGGAGGAGAAATAAAGGTCTTCCAACCACTGGTTCACTCCCCAAATGGCCCCAACAGCCAGAGCTGGGCCAATCTGAAGCCAGAAGCCAGGAGCTTCTTCCAGGTCTCCCAAACGGGTGCAGGGGTCCAAGCACATGGGCCATCTGCTGCTGCTTTCCCAGGCTATGGCTGAGCTGGATCAGAAGAGGAGCAACCAGGGTACGAACTGGCACCCATATGGGAAGCTGGTGCTGAAGGTGGAGGCTTAGCCCACTACGCCACAGTGCTGGCCCTTGGAAGAGTGATTTCTTAGATGGAAATGAAGCATACGCTAGATTGAAGATGAAGAGAATAAGTAAGAGATAATAATGATAATACAGAATAAGCCCGTTCCTTGATCCTGGAGTATTTCACTTAACTGCCCCTCTAGCTCATGCACATTTAGAGAAGACCTGCCATTGTTCCCCAAAGATCTTCCTGATTTTTAAAAGTTGGAATTCAGTTTGCATAGAAATACTACTATAAGTTAGGATGGGTTATCCTTTTTGTTGTTGTTGTTAAAGATTTATTTATTTATTTATTTGAAATTACACAGAGAGAAGGAGAGGCAGAGAGAGAAAGAGGTCTTCCATCTGCTGGTTCACTCCCCATTTGGCCACAATGGCCGGAGCTGCGCTGATCCGAAGCCAGGAGCTTCTTCCTGGTCTCCCACACAGGTGCAGGGACCAAAGGACTTGGGCCATCTTCTACTGCTTTCCCAGGCCATAGCAGAGAGCTGGATTGGAAGTGGCGCAGCCAGGTCTCAAATCAGCGCCCATATGGGATGCTGGCACTGCTGACTGCAGTTTTACCTGTTACACCACAGTGCCAGCCCCAAAATAGCGCATTACTATGCAAGAGTAAGGAGATGGTCACTCATCAGGCAAGCTGATGGGGCCCATCACAGGGCCTAGGATTTTTCTTTTTTTTTTTTTTTTTTTAGAGAGAGATGCATATATTTATTTATTTGGAAGGCATAGTAACAGAGAGAGAGAAAGAGAGAAGCAGAGAGGATACAGGAGAAAGAGGGGGGAGAAAGAGAGACCTACCCTGTGGTTCACCCCCCAAATGCCCACAACAGCCAGAGCTGGGCCAGGCCTAAGCCAGGAGCCTGGAACCGAATCTAGGTCTCCTACATGGGTGAGAGGAACCCAAACACTTGGGCCATTGCCCACAGCCTCCCAGCTGTTCGTAAGCAGGAAGCTGCTGAATCAAGGCGGAGCCAGGGCTCCATCCAAGGCCCTCCAAGGGGAAATGCAGGAGTCCCTGGCCACAGCTTAGCCCGCGGTGCCACAACACCTGCCCCCTATTCTTCTCATTCACAAACTCCCAGTGCTCCAGGAAGGAGGAGGTACGCTGCAGACGGTCATCACAGATGATGGCTGCTGGGGCCCCTGTGTCCCCACACGGCGGCCGCCAGCACACGCCTCCCTCGGGGTCCATCATTCCTGTGCAATGCAGCCCTGGCCGAGGGCCTTGGCGAGACCGGGAGACCATGAGAGCAACCGTACTCCGTGGGAGGCTCCTGTAAAATGAAACATGGCCCCAAGAATGTGGGCAGTGTCTTCACACCGAGGTTCCGAAAGCATTGCATGCTTTTATCAGGCCCTGGACACACACTCGATGTGGGCGTTTGCATTTTTAAGATTTATTTATTTTTATCTATTTGAAAGACAGAGACAGAAACAGAGAAAGTGAGATCTTCCGTCTGCTGGCTCACTCCCCAAATGGCCATAAGGGCCAGGCTGGGGCCAGACTAAAGCCGGAACTTCTGGGTCTCCTATGTGGGTGCAGGGGCCCAAGGACTTGGGCCATCTTCTACTGCTTTCCCAGGCCACAGCAGAGAGCTGGATCAGAAGTGGAGCAGCCAGGACTCGAACTGGCTCCCATATGAGATGCTGGTACTGCAGGCCGCTGGTGGCCCCAGGATGGGTTGTCTGAATTGGTGCTTTTGGTTCTGTTCAAAGACTGTTGGTACATACAGTGATATCATGTAGTTAACTCCACTTATAACTGCAGGATCTGAAATTTTTTAATAGACGGTAAAACTAAAACTTAGAACTCCTTACTCCTGAGTTGTTGTGCAGCTATATGCCTAACAACGCCTTCAGCTCTGTATTCATCCATCTTGGTAGATGCAGAAATGTAACTATGGCATTGTTTCTATAAAAATGCAATTTTTAATTTCCAAACATCTAATACTTGTAGATTTTTGAAAAATTAAAATTCAC